CGTTCCGCATAGACTCGTCGCGCGCGCGCGCGCGCGATTGCTGCATCATTAATCCATCAAACTTTGATAAATTATATTATCAGTTAATTTACCGAATTTGCATTGAAAGAGTTCGGTATTCCGTAAACTTTATTATTATTACGATATTTCGGAGAGAGGAAGAAAGAGAAGAGATAGAATGGCAGTTTGTCGTCATTATGGTAAACAATATATAAGAAGTTATGATACGAGATAACGAGTTCACGCTCGAAATTCATGACCCCCAGGCGCCGAAAACGTGGAGAGATATAGATACGATGCCAAAACGTGACCTTATATCGATCGAATAGTTTTGGTAAAAATCGCTACGTGAAGGTCGGACAATTGCGAAGTGGCCTATCGCGGCTATTGACGATGGCTGTAAAGTTCCCATGCGGAATAATACCCAATCCCGTTTGTTGACAGCAATAAAATTGCGATAACAGAATTGTTCGGATTAACGGTGGTGGCTGCAAAGCGATATGAATTCGATATCTATGCGGGATTTACATTCAACAAAGTTATGACGCAGAGTTTAAGTGCAAAACAAAAAATAAATAACGCACGGTAAACAGAAAGATATTGGTTTTTTTTACGTGACGTATTGTTGCCATCTGAGCAGTTGAAATATACGAGAAACATTTTCATGAAAAAAAGAAAAAAAAATAACAATCGATGACAGCTACAGGTCAAAGTTCACGCAGGATTTACGAATGCAGATTGAGCAACAATATTTCTCGGTATATGACATAGAGAGATCAAGGAAATGCCAGTTACAATTAACATTCGACACGTAGATTAAACGAAATGTTCGCTTTTCAAGCAAGCACTGTTACTGAATTCTTAGTGATTCAGTCATTCGCGCAGTATGTTTGAATTTGTGCAATATTACTGCGAAAATGTTACAACCTGACAATCGCAATAGCGCAAAAGATAAATTTCTACAAATTTAACTTGTCACATGTCATCATCAGTTTCTATGAAAACAACGAAACACGTGTGACACACATTTTTTATCATTACTTTTTTGTTGTAATAATCAAGATTTTGCGGAGGTTGTAAATTTCTAATTACACGGATGACTCGTTACGTTTGTTGGCGGGACCGAATTTCCGTTGTTATGAAATTAAATAACGTTGCACAGAAAGAGAGGTCATATAATACGAGGTAAAATTGAGAAAATGATGCCACGTCGCCATGATCCGCGTGTTCCAAATAGAGGAATCTTTAAACTCGCGAAGCGAGATAAAGGGTCGCCACCGACAACCAGATTATTCCACGACCGAAAGTGTACCGGGAGGGGCAATTACGAAATACGTAGAGAGAGGGTAAGCTCTTCCTCTCGCTGGTGGAGAGACTAGCGACAGTTGGGGTAGTAGTAGAGATAGACGAAGGAAATAGGACACGACTGTCACAACCGCTGACAATCGAGCGCCTCTCGCCAAGTCGTAAAAATAACAATCAAATTTGAAAAACACGAACGCGGTTATTCTACGAGAAAACGCTTACTATCTTCGATCTCGGGAAAATACGTCATCGACGAAAGTGGAACGTGGCGACAAGAAATTGAAAAAATCGAGTATAATTGTTTGATTTAAAATGGAGAACCGTGAAAAGAGCTCTAGGAAACGATACAGATGACAGAATGGAAAAGTTCGAGGAGCAAAAAGGAGAGGCTCTTCGTGCCTGAAGAATGAGTTATTTCTTCGGAACTGTTTCTACGATAAAATGTTCCCAGAGCAGACATAATGACGTATCATCGTACTCGTAATTGCCAGAGTCGCTGAAAAAAACCACTTTACATGCAAAAAAGATTGAAACGCTATTTTCGTTACTTATTATATCGCGTTTCGAATATAATTATCTCTCGATGCGCTTGTCGAGATTAAAAATCATCATTCGCACAGGCGACCTCTTCCCGATAAAATAAATCAATACCGAACATTGTATCCGGCCAAATTGAATTTCCCTTCACTGACTGCTCTCGAATCACTCTCAATATTCACCGATATCTGTCGAAAGAAATTCTCTAGCGCCTTCGAACACGTATATTTATTGCGCGAAAAGTTTGCAGTCTCTAGGTAGCGAGCTTCTAGGGAGCCGACAGTGATATCGTTGCACACATCTCGAGTTCGAAATAAGTCGGCCTTGACGTTAGAGGAGACAGCTTTTCCGAAGTCGAGCAGTAGATTCGAGCAATCGACGAGAGAGAAAGAGAGAAAACAGGGTAGCGATGTAAGGAAGGGAAAGCGAAGAGTCAAACAAGAACGAGAGAGCAAAGATGGCTACAAGAAGAGTCGATAAGAGAGAGAAAGAGAGATGGGTGAAAATAGAGGGTCGCCGAGAAGGGAAGAGAGCGAGATGGACAGACAGTATCGGCGAACGAAAGAGACGGGAGAAAAAAAAGAGGTAGGGATAGAGAGAAGGTGTCAATGACTCGTGAACCTTTCGCATCGATTGCAAATATTTAAAGCACGAGGTCAGAGAGGAGCGACATGCGGGGTGATGAGGTTCGAATTTGAATACAAGACGACGGCGACGTCGAAGAGCCGGGATTGTTCGCCCTTTAAAGGATAATGATTGCTGGACATCATCGATGTCGCGACTGGCCATTTATATGTCGTCGTTGGACGCCTGAGGCTACATAGAGGAGATACAACGTTAAACACGTCGCGCCGAAGTTTGCAACTCAATTTTCATGACGCCTACGTTCCCTTCACATTGTCATGTCTTGATCGATAAAATGCGAAACGCGTGTATGATTCTCGCACAATTGCGCTCCTATATTTCTCGTGCATTCGCGCGCGATGATTTCCGATTGAAAAATATTTCGACGACCAGGAGAACCGTTCGGCTTTATTCAGTCGAATACAACAATAACGGCTCGGCATCGACCGCGACGTAATTAGCCGCTTTGCTGAAATTGCGTCGATTTGTTGCCGAGCCCGTTTGTTACGCGCTAATAGACACGAATCGAACGCTTATAACTATCATAATAACGTCGGGAAGGGCGCTGTTGAATTTTAATTACCGTTTAATTGATCTGCAAAAATACGTACAACGCGATGCTTGTGTACACCGTATTTTTAATATGCCGAAAGTGGCACGAAACCTCACCGCGGCAAAGTCGCTCATCTGCATATTACTTATCGCGACGTCACGATATCACGCGTCGTATTATTACTTTGTTGCCCGTGTCTCGAGGATTTGCATAAAACACTAAGCGTGAATCGAAACACATTACAGCCAACGCAACAAGCCTTCAGACACGCGCAACTCTAAGCTTTTGCCATCACATTGATAAATCCGAAAATATAGCAACAAGGGTTGCGTGACACGTGTCTATATGCTCGTTCTTAATGCCAAACACAATTATTGACGAAGCCGTAAAGAGCTTTTCTATCAAGTACTTTAACATCTTTTAGTCTCGCGCATCGCAATTGCCCTCGGAAAATTTTAGTTACAAATATATTATAAAAAAATGTTCGAATTTAAATCACCAAAGTGACATATCAAAATTGCTTTAAAACTCTCGATTATTTCAATGAATTTCGGACGAGCCACTCAATGAAAATCAAATGACAGAATATACAATACTTCTCTTAATGTAATGTCTGATTTGGAAAAATCAGAATTGATTTGCGTATTATCGCTAACTACAGTCTTCAATCTCTCATCCTCATGAGAAGTCTCTCATCCACAAACGTTCAATCAAGTCAATCCGGAAGGCCCGACTGTCTTACTAAAGTGTTATTCCGTTCCACCTTGTCGCGGGCATTCAATGGAAACGACCGCAGAACGATCATCGTGTAACGGAGAAGTCTACTATTCGACCAAACCGACTGATACGTAATTGAGATCAACGATGCGGAAGAACGGGGTGGACGGCGATAAAAGGAAATGATCGGAAGAGAGAGGAGCAAAAAGTACGAGCGAGCATTCGCGTGTAATAGCGGTATTATATTCCGGTAAAGAATTACAGTTTAACCCGCGTCCTGCTCCCTTAATTGTCATCTTTAAGTATCGAAATACGCTTTAGATGAAGACTTATTGGGGGATTTGGACTCTCTGAAAGAGGCAAGAATCAGTAGTGGCATCTCTGTTATCACGTCACCGTTAACGAGATATTCTCGACTGGAGAGAGAGAGAGAGAGAGAATTTCGAACGTTTAATATCACCATTTGCTATATTGAGATATAATATAAATAACGCGCCAAAGGAGGCCAATTAGTACATGATTAAGAAGCATTCGGGCAGATTGAATTATAGTTTGTAATTAATAATTAACGTGTTCAATATATTAGCGTAATTTGCCCGAGAAATGATTAATTGCACCGCGAGAAAGCAGATTCATACACGCGATTCATTTATATTCCCCTTTCCACTTCGAAATGATCCCGGGTATTTTTCTTAAAACAATAGACACATTGCGGCAAATGTTATTCTTGTTTGCAGACAGTTATAATTCGCCCGTAGGCGAGCGTGACAACGACAAATGTATGAAGCTTCATTGTGAAAACCTATTGTGTATCTATTGCGCGTGGCAATAATCGGCCGGCTTCGTTTTGTTCCCGCGTTCTCCGGTTTTGTGACAGACCGGGGGCGAATGGCGGATGGCGAATGTTATGTGTGACATCGGGGAACGCATCGGTGGCATCCGAATAAAAGTTGCGGCACGCGGATCAAGAGGCGCGTCACGTCGCGCGCTCGAAGTGTTACATATGCATTCCCTCTTGCAATTGCAATACCGTGCTTTTCGATAAATTATAGGCCAACTGTCACTGCGTAATATATGTTAACTTTTCCAAAACTCCCTATTAATTATTAAAAGCAAATTGAATATAAAACTTGATAATTACATATTCCTGATGAGAGAGGATACTTCGATATAATTTGATATTATAACGAGTGAAGAAAAATCGTTGATCACCATGGAAACTGTTCGGACAAATATAATAGAAAAATTGAAGTCTTTCTCTTACCTTCGAAACGAGATAAACAGGCGCTTTTGTTTTTCGAAGAAGGGGATTCAATACCTTATCAAACCAGGTACCATCATTGTCATCGAGATTTCGGATTTTTGCGTGTTGACACTATTGCACGGATATAGTTTATAGGCCGTTTACCGAGCTTTCGTTGTCGATACTTAAGAGAGGTAGATTTAACAGGGGACTACAGACGAACCAACTTTAACATTTATAATAATTGAACGTGGAAACTTTAACACGACGATTAAATATTAATTGACAACTTTCGTTTGGTCGTTATAAGTGTCACCTTTCTTCTCCCTTTTTCTCTTTTCGCGCCGTCTGTATCATCTCGTCAACGACATGTATACAAATACACGTATACATACACATCACACATATATACTTATAGATTCTTTTATACGGCAATATATCTCTCTCAAACTTGAAACAGACGATAAATTTTAATCACACTCCCCACACACAATTATGAATATTATTATATATTATTCAGAAGATAATTATTATTAGTAGGATATTATTATTGGTAATGATGTTATCGCATTAAATTAACGAATAGACCAGTTTGTAATTCATCGAGCAAGCGTTCTCGCCCAATTTTCTCCGCCCGATATGTCACCAGATATCACTCATCTGCAATACAGGACCCTGCGTATATCCAACTGACAATGAGAATTCGTATCCTCGATCGACCGATTTCTTCCCTTCTCGCTGCTCCAGTTTCGCCGATTATCTTTCTCCCTCCGGCGAGACACTGCTGAAATAACACTGGGCACCTTTTTTTAAGAGCACCCTTCAACTTAATTCTCCTCTCGTTACGCGCGCGACACGATTCTCACTCGCATCGCAGGAGTTTTGTAGAGATCGCGATACCACTAAAAACACAAAGCACGTGATGCTCGACGTGACGCTCGACGCCTCGTAATTTGTTTACGTCCTCGTCCTTTTCCAGCAACCAATAGGTGCGCGCATCTTACTCTCGGCTTACTGTCGTCGACTAATTAAAAAAAAATTAAGTGACAAGAGACAGTGGATCGATAGGCTTGCGAGATTCGATTTTCTTCCCGTAATGGTCTACGTTCTCCTTTCACAACGTAGAATTTTCCGTAGATTTTCAATGAATTTGTGTAACTTATCACGGTGAGATGTAACCGCAAATGTACGAGTGTCTATTTGATATTTCTAGAGTTTAGTTTTGCTTCGCTCCGGCGAATCTATGTGGAACATTTCGCGTGCAGCTTCATCATTGGGGATCCGTAACTTTCGTTACGATGGGTAAGCATTGAATGTCACGTAATCAAGAAAGTTTCGAGAATTATTTTATTACTTCGATCATGGAACTTACTGGATTAGCAAATTTACATTTCTCTCCATTCTGAAAGACTTACAGCAAAGTTCGCGTTTGTAATCGGATAGTTTACGTTATTACAAACAGGCTTCTGGGGAAGAAGTGAGATAACAGTTCCTTGAACCGGAAAATTAAGTTCCACGAAATAAATAACTAGATTCTGATCTTTTTTTCCTTAGCTGCCTCCTCATAATTGTTATGTCAAGTCTGATGTAATTAATTAGACTCGCAGGGCGACTATAAAAGCGGCCGTAACGGTTAGTAATTCCTATTAAGCTAAGATTAACAGGCTCGTTCCTTGTTACACTTTACCAATAAAGTAAACATTTGATATTTCTACCCTATTTGGCAGCTATACAAAGTCCATGGAAGGTTCATTGACAGTCATGATACCTATATTCCCTCTGGGTAATGCTAAATCTTATTTTAGAAAAACATTGAATATCGTTCAATAAAGTTTCACAGAACTTGCGCTAGAATATAATAGAAGCATAAATATTACATCTCGAATTAAAGGGCACGTGCCGTATTGATTACGAAAACAAGTATACCATGTTAGTGTTATTCTGTTTATGTGATTATAGCATGTCGCTATGAAACTTTGCAACTTTCGTATCTACACAAACGTGTACTGATTAATAATGAAATTGTCGATCTATCGAGCAATTTAAATTTTTCAAATCGAAACCTTCAAAATTTTCTATTCCCAGCGGAAGGGCGTAAATCAGTTCTTTATTTGTTTTTTGTGATTACAGTCGGCTCATCCGCGATATCAATTTTCGCAAAGCCGTAGAATTTTATTACGTTTGATTGGAAAACGAGTCAGAGAGTTTTGACTATAAAGATTGTGGTTCGTAAAAGAGAGTACGTTTTCGTTATAACGAAGGGGGATTCTCGTGGTACACCGAAATTGCCTGCTCGGCTTTATTTTGCGCAAACTATACGAATCCGGGAAGCCTATCATCTGTTTGCCTAACGTATCGATCTTTGCCGGTATAATCGACTAATATTTTCCCGATAGAGCGAGAGATATGCGCTTTATCGTTTTTTTTTATTTTAATCAAAATTTTAAATGCCGGTTATGCAAATTTATTTTTGTTGGAAAAATCAAGATTCGTGCAAATACAGAACGCTGTAGGCCTGATAAAATTAATATCGCACAAAGCGCGCAACTAATTGATCACATTTTTTCCTTCTATCTTCATCAAACAGTTTAATAGACGAAAAAAAATCGATGGAGAGACATAACAAATTCAAAGGCTCATCCCAATTCGAGTTATTAACCAACGACAATCGATTTCAACATCGTGGAGTTACACCGGGGGCACGGGCATAAAAATACACCCTCCACATATTTTTCTATCTCCTTTTATAAACAAAATATCCGAGAGGAAAAGCATGCGCGCACATATCGTTCGCGCACTCACGGAATAATTCCCACGAATTTTCACGCTCGCGAATTTTTTCACGCCTGTCCCGCAAAAGTTGGCGCTGATAAAACGAACGAGCGTCTCTCGTGCTTTTTTCACCGAGGAAAAAAGCTCACACACGCGAGAAACACACTAACGCCGCGCGTGCAATCACGCCGCTCACTCCGGGGCCCTTCGATCAGCACACGCTACCCCCGCAGTGCGAAAAGCGCCCTGTTACCCTCCCGACGCACGTCCGCGCGCGCGCGCACGCACCGCCGACGGAGACGACGACGCATCGTCGTCGTCGAGTTCACGCGCGCACTGCGAGGGAGAGTCCGGCCAGCCCTCTTCGCGTCTCTCTCTCTCTTTCCCCGAAATTCTAAAAGTCCGCCGGGGGCGTCCGCGTCCTCCGGAGTAGTCTGGATCACGCGAGAGAGGCCGTTCACTCCGCGGCTTCGCCGGGCTGATGATGGTGTCGTCGTTGCTCGCGCGGGTCGTAGCAGCGTCGCTCGGGCTGCCGGCGACGGCGGGACGCCACTCGACGACGGCGACGACGCCGGCACTTCCTCGCTACCATTATCCACTCACTCCCTCGTTTCTCGCAGCCGGGCGCGCGCGTCTCTCGCGCCGTTGTACGATATTTCCGGAAAGGGGGTTGGGAGGGTGGGCAAAGGGGATGAAGGAAGGAGGAAAAAAAAATACAAACTCTCGGAGAGCAGTCGCCTTTGCGTGGCGCGACACGGCGACGCGACGCGAGTAGAAGCGGGTCGACGACGACGGGGCGGCCGCCTTTTACGGTCTACGCGCGCAGCGGGTAGGCCGTGTTAAGCACGGCACTCGCTACTGCCGGCTGGTACAACGTGTACCTCCGCTACTAACCTAGCGTGTCCGTCCTCTCGCGTCGCCTCGCCTCGCCTCGTAACTCCTCTCCCAGTCGGACACCCCGCCGACCCTCTCGCCACGGCTACCTGGCCAAACCCTGGCCTCCCCGCGCCCCGTACTCTCCACACCGCGACGCCGATCAACCCCTAGGGCGCACGAACCACCACCCCTGCCGAGAGAGAGACGCCATCGCGCATGACACGCAGTGCCGTGTTTTTGCCCGCATAGTGCCCGGATGAGAAAGGATTCTCTTTCTTTACGGATGTGTTGAGACTTATATTTCCCTATTTGTCACCTTTTTTTCTATAATATACGTCGACGTTACTCTTAATCTGATGTAAATGTAGTTGTGTGCACACACGTGCAGTGGAAGTGTCGTGGCATTTACGGCGAAGGAGGGAAAAATTTTCAAGAGGAACGACTAATATATATATGTATAGAGCGAAGATATAAATAAATATATATATGTATGTATTTGCTACCCCCATCTGGATTGAAATTTATAGTTCCGTGCATGAATATTCCGTTAGCTTTTGTCGTGTATATTTTATTTGTATTTTTTAAATAAAATTTCTCAGAAGCATGAGCTTCTATATCTGTGAGGAATCATCTCGGATATTTGCGATGCAATATCAAGAATGTTAAGGCAGAGGGATGCATTCAAGCTTGTAGAATTTTCATGATATCGCTACCGTATCTCGTATGATAAATAAGTATTGCGTGTACGGGGTGCAAAGAAACTTCTTTCTTGCCTCGTCTAACGTAAAACGAAAAAGACCGCGCGCAGGGTGAACGTTATCAAAACCAGATCACGATGCATTGCGTCGTTAGCGTGCCGCGACGACGATATATCGATCGAGACGGAGTGCGCGAAATTGCGTACATTGCATTCGCGCGCGGTTTGTCCGAGAGATAAGATCGAATTATACGAAGCGAGAGCACCTACAAACACGAAGAAGAAGGGTGCAAAAGGGCTCTTTGTGATCTCGTCTCTCTCTCTCTCGGTTTTTTCTTTTTTTATTCCAATTCAGGAACCAGGACACGATCTCGAGAGAAATCAGTTTTCTCCGCATATACTACGAGAGCGAGCAGGCAGAAGAGAGAAGCTCAAAGTACGATGACACGCACGGCGCTGCCACGCGGCGGTATTCAACCAGTGGCGGCGGAATGGTGGATGTTGACCTATACGAGCCAGTTTGCGCGAATAAATCCCGGTGACTCGGTGACCGATCTGCCGGCAAGGCTGGATGCTGCCGTCGAAGCTCTGGGCGCCCCTGAGGAGAGATCCAAGTGGATTTGACGGTGGAGATGCAGGGTGCGTCAAGCGGAAGAACCAGACGGCGGAGAACCGGATGGCGTGCACGAGGAAAGGCTCGCTAAGAAAGGAAAGGGAAGAGGAACGATAAGGGTGGAAGAGGGATGAAGAGGCATCAAGAAAAGCTCTGTGGTAAACAGAGGAGAGAGACAGAGAGAGAGAGAGAGAGAGAGAGAGAGAGAGAGAGACGGCACGCGGTAGCAGCCACCACGTCGTATACCAACGCCACTTCATATTGATTTTCCGGGAGGGGAGGAGGAATGGGGTTGGAATGGTGGAAGAGAGAAAGCGCGAGACAGAGAGACCGGCAGGAGGAGGTGGAAGAGGGTTCTCCAAGGCGGAGAAACGGAGAGGGAGATCGAAAGGCAGAAAGGGATGGAGCAACCGGTTCTTCGTCGTTAACCATCGTGGCTAACCCCTAAGGTTGAGTCTGGAGAAAATGGCGGGTTGGGCCGAGAGCGTCGGTACGGTATAAAGTACATATACGCTTTATCGGGGGCGCGTTGTGCGCACAGCTGAGAATAAAAACCTGGTCCACGAAGCGGGTCCAGGTTTCGCGAATGGCGGTGAAAATATATATATATGTATGGAAGGTGGAGAGAGAGAGAGAGATTGAGCATCTGTGTAAATAATTTACATCACAGCAACAGTGTGATGGACGTATGTGCATGTTATGTATATACATACATTGAGATCTTATATCTTGCTACTTTAGTATGAAAAATAATCCCGCTTTATAATACATGACTATAGAAAAATACACACAGATATCATTTCTACAATGATATATACGAGAAGACACGTTACAAGATACGGTTGTAAGATACGTGATGTCAGAATATAATACGACAGTGGAACGGACAAAAGTATAATATGATTCTTTGCTATCTTCATTTTTTTTCTTTTATAGGTAATATAAAAAGATTAAGAGATAACGTAAAGTCACATTATAGCTTTATTATATATATATAATATGCCGGTGTATCTATTTTATATGATTAGTTTTTTCAGTTTTAAAAGATTATAGGAAATTGAATTAGCGCGAAATTGAAAAATCTTTTACCTTAAATTTGCGCAAATCTGATTTATAGTCAATTTATATAGATTTATATCAAATTTTGGTGCGTATTTTTAATTATTCAATTGTTCGCGGACGCTTCTCGAATAAACGAGATAATGCATTTTTAATTTAATGAAGCAGAACAACGAAAAAAAGGAAACTTCTTTATCGCTTCAATTCATCCCTGTCATGACTTTTTAGTGTCCGTCGTAATTACATTACTCTTGTAATGAAAGTCAATAGGGGAGAATCCAACGAACAAGAAATATTTTCTTTTTCGTAATGCAATAGACTCTGTAGATTATTTCTACGGTGATATATATATATATATATATGTATGTGTGTGTGTGTGTGTATAACACAAAAAGATACAAGAAGACAATGCACAAGATACGGATGTGTTACACGATGTTAGAATATAATGATGGACAAAAGAGAGTATAACGCGATTATTTACTATCTTAATCTTTTCTTGAAGTGCATTAAGGAGTGCAAGCAAACTGACTTTGCACATTGATAAGAAGCACAAGTTTTTCTTTATCCGTATTTTATCGTCGTTTTTACATTATATATCGTACATTAATTCGAACGCGACAAAAGTTTGCAGTTTATGGCACGAGTTTCTTTTTTCTTATTTTTTTAGTAACTAAAAAAAGCAAGTTTCGATAACTTTTGTTTGTGTTCGCTCGTAATTTTAATCGGACAAAGACGCGACATGATGTGTATTAATCTGATTATTCCAAATAGTTGGGAACTAGGAAACAATGGAAAGCTCGTTACGCGATTTCACAGACATACGTTTTGGTCACTCGTACGTCTACACGGATCATTACCAAAATTAAATGATTATCTCGTTTGCGAGACCGCGCTCATTCTTCTTGCGAGAGCAATTTAACAGCGCGTTTCTCGAAAATGATTAAAATCGAGCGATAAAATAATTGTGTTATAACGAATATTCAGATAGTGCTATTTAGCGGAACCAATTTTCGTTTCAACGATAATTGTTATCACATTTAGTTAGACAAAGTGAAATAAGTTTAAAAGAAAGAACTATGTATGTAATGTAAAAATAAGAAATAAATATGCGTAGCATGTCAGGTAAGACATAAAATTAAATGCAGCGAAATAAAGGTAAGGTAACTGCGTAATCTCGCTAGAGTTAGGAAAAGGTCATGCACCGCAGCGTGAAAAGAATAAAGATAAGGGATTTGTTGTAACGGAGGAAAGTTAAACTGGTTCAAGCATACGGATTCGTAAATTTCCAAACTTGTGCTTGTACGTACACTAATAGCCTAAACAGACTAAACTGGATATAGCTGGTAGTTAAAATTGCATACATTATATCGTAAACTTGTATACTTGCATTACATTGCGTTATGTGTTAAAATAAGCCCTAAGAAAAATAGATGACACATATAATCAATGGCCGATGCAACCGTCGAATGTATCATCCTAATCTCACGCGATATTAAACATTTAAATTTGTCCAAGTTTAAATCGTTGCTTCCTAAGTATCGATCGACCGAGAAAACCAGATTGAAGCTCGCGCACGTGTAAAGAACATTTTTACCCGTCGTGTGATGAAATAATTTACCGTAGCTGCACGCCCGCCCAGAAATAATCTCTCGAACCGTGATGACGAGGAGATTGTGTAGAGGGACCGCGTTGCTCGTTTAATTTTTCAACCTGTGTCACTACTGCGGAGATATCGAGATAACATGTGACGTAACCGTTGTGTGTTTACAGTTTGATGCTATATATATGATTGCAATTTCTTTATGGGATGATGCACCTAACTTGCGATCACCGCGGTATGGAATTTAAACAGAGGAAAGAGAGACGTTTACCCGTAAAATTAAAAAATAATATTTTCACGTAAACTCTCCTTCTTTTTTTTTCTCCCTGAAAATTTTTTCTTTTTCGTATATTTTCGAAAACGTGAAGCAGACGATAACAGTGGCAATGTTATAAAATGTGTTTTCTCGTGCAGACGCAAATCGAATTTGTCATAGTTAATTAATTGCTCGTCGACGAAGCAATCGATGAAGCTGGTAGCCGGGTTATGAAGAGCCAATGACCACTTGTTGTGGGACCGTAACTTAGGCATCCAAAATGATTGGTCAATTTTCGCGAAAGGTGAGTAATCAATCGCAGCCGTGGCCGAAAGAGAGAGAGAGAGAGAGTTATTTCACGAGCGAACGACCCTTTGTTTTATCAACGTCAGTCATCGATTTTTCTATCCGAATTCTGTGTTACTGGGCGATTCTCCGCTTTATCGTATTATCGTCATCGGCCTGTCGTCGGTTTACTCGGTTGGAGAACGTTTATTTCCTGGCTTCGAGTTATTATGCGATACATTTGGCCGCTTTTCAAAGCTACATCATCCAGACGCACTATACTGGGAATAAGAAATAAAATGGGAATAATTCGTGAATAGAAAGAGCATATAGAGGCGATTGCGGCCGTATCGCAATTTCCGACGATAAAGGCGGAAAATATATAATGCACGACTTTTGGCTAAGCCCGGGTAAAGCGTCGAATATAGAGATCTTGGTGTCTCCGTGTGACGCCGCGTGCAAACCAATTTGAATATCAACTATGAGATAGAAAGTCGGCTCGAGATTTGCAAGAAGGAAAATGCAACACCGGGAAATGCGAAGAGCGCGCAAAAGGAAAAAAGAACACGAAAAGAGAGAGCCAGTTCCGGTCTGGCGAAAAGCCGGATGGCGCAGTATAGTGTATATAAGAAACGCGGAGGGGTTGCTTCGTAACATGGCCGGAGAATAAATTACAAAACCAAAGGGAATTAACCGTCCTGAAAATGAAGTAGGCAGGCGTAAGTAAGCTCCATCATTTTTCTCTCTTTCTGTTGCAATTCCCGAGGAAAACTTTCTGGGAGCACTAGTGTGAACCATGCATCGCGTCTTTTTCCGCTCTCTTTCATTGTCCGCCTTCATTCTTCGCCCCATTTCTTGGCTTTGTGTGTGTATGACCCCGAATGCTAAATTTACTTTATATAAAAGCAGTTTCCTTTCCAATTCTATATCTCGTATAGAATACGGACGCACGATTTTCATGTACAACTTACATTGGAGTAAGAGTAAAAATAAAGATACCAATCGCGCGGTTGAACTTTGTTGAATAATAACAACTTGCTATATCAATTAGGTCAGGTTAAGTGCGCGCTCTTCTCGAACTCGACGTATAGAAATGATGATAAAAAACCAATCGCTACTCCAATCTCGTCATTGAATAATAATAATTGACTAGGTTATTAGTTGTTGCTGCATTTGTACGATTCTTCAAGATTCACAAATGGCACAAAAATCGGGACGGTATAATAAAGAGGCAGGCAGTTAATGTATATATATCGAATCCATGATTGTCTGTTATTGAAGTAAGGATTGTTTCGCCTTAGTTATAAGGGCGACGTGGTAATTAACCAGTAACTCAATTGAGAACACGAGTCCTCGTTAGTAACTGGAACGTCAAATTCCTTCGGTCGTTTACACGAGATAAATGTCGAGATAAATGTAACTGACAGTTTAGTCCCTCGTTTACACTACTCAGATCTAGAGAAGAGATGCTGTTCAATCTCGTAAAATACGTTAAACCCAGTGCAGTGTTGCGAGAAGCAGCGTAACCTCGCGGGAAACCTCACATCACGTTTCCGCGATCGGGTAATCGATTCTCGTCGCTTATGATTCTTGAAAAAAAGTTTCAACGACTTCGCGGAGACATCCGGAATTACCCGCGTGACAAATGAGTCCGACTAAAAATATCGCGACCATATACGGGCGTATCGCGAATCGCGAGTTCAAGGGGAGAAAAAATTGTGCCACGTCCCCTGAATACACAACGACGTAAGTTAGGTATTCCCGCGCTTTCCGACGAGTACGACACCTGTCTCGTCCATCTCTCGGATCTGCCACGTCCGCAGCGACGAGTCAACGTTTTCGTTTCGGTCGCGTATGTGATCGATCGGACGTCCCTTCAATTACTTAGCAGGCGAAACGGCGAACACGTCGTGTGCTTGGAAAATAGCCAAGAGGTCAAAACGCAACAAGCTTGCTCGATCATTCGGAAATATTCGACTCGGCAGTTTATATCCGCGGTTATTTGGGACCGTAGTTTATTTTACGCGCGCGATCGAAGAAGCCAAGGACACTCTAATACTCGACGACGGCTTGATTATTTCGAGCGGCAAACTTCACCGGATATAAGGATTAAAATTCGGGGGTGAAAAGAGGGAGCGAGTTTAAAACGCGGTGGATACTGGATTTTCGAAAGTTCGAGACCTACAGTGGAAAGCACTTAAAAGTGTATGAAATCGGTGCGGTTCGTAGGGTAAGCGAAACACGTCGACGAAAAGTTTGGAGAGACTAGAGAGAGGCGAGGGAGAGGAGAAACTCAATATATAAGAACCGGAAGGAGAGTTAAAGGGAGACATGTGCACGTGAAAGGCAACTGTCACTAGTCCTGTTCTTTTCGGCGAGGCACGAGTCTTAACGTGTTTGTTAGAGAAAATCTCGCTGTCCCACTTCCGAAGAGCGATCCACGTCAGCTGGGAAACACTCTTTTTTTCACTCCCTTCGAGTTTCCCAGAATTCACGCTCGTCTGAACGTACTAGCGCGCGATTCGAGACGACGCCGTCGATTACCGGCTCCTCCGACAAGCGAACGAGTCCCGAGCACCTGTTCTCGATCTTGAAGAACTTGTCTCGAGGCACGCGATAGCCTGCTTGGAGCAGCGAAACGTCTAATGATAATTAATGAAGTCTCGGGAAGAAAAAGGGTTACGCGCTCTCGCGAGATATCATTTATTACGAGAGGCGAGAAAGAGAGAGAGAGAAAGAGAGAGGAGAGGTGATAAGACCAAGTCGAGTCGAAACCAAAGAGCAAGAAATTTATGTTGGACGAGAGAAATTTCTATTCTTCTTTGCGACGCGAAAGATAAAGGAGAAGCGAATAAACGACAAGGGGAACATTTGGAACGCGTTCAATTGCCGTTTTAATTTCCGCGGAGAATATTTCATTAATATTAATATTGCGGCCGACTACTACTCGCGGTGCGAGAACAAGGGAAATATTGTATGGCGGCGACGAGAGAGAAAGAAGAAGGAAGACGGCGATCCTACGCGATCGTGAAAGCGTCGAATTAACCGAGCGAGCGCATGCTCCGTACGAAAATCATTAATTAAGCCGGAACTAAATGCACGAGGAGCAAGCCGCCTGTCACAATTTCCGCGTGACCTCGTAAATCATGACAAGCGTTTTCTCGCTCGCGCAAGGCTTCTTTTATGGTCTCGCTACGCGTCGAACGAACAATGTCGCGAGGCAAAATTTCGCGTTCCTCGACATCTACATGCTCGGCCTTGCGAGGCAAAGCGGGATAAATTTCCAAGCCGATGTACGTGTATCGAATATCGACCGAGATCGATGCGGGAGAGAAGAAAATGCACGCGGACAAATTGTAAACGGATATCTCCTTGTCGCGAGGTCGCGGGGTTGTTCGATTATTTGAGATCGTAACCGCCGATTATTCGTTAGCCGGTCTGAAAATAAGATCGCGACGATCTTAATTTTCGATGACCCCGTTCGCGGTCGCGAAAGTAGAATTTCACCTCCCGGGGAAAATATCGAAGCATTATGATTTCGCCGCGCGCGGAATGAGATTCTTGGAGAAATCTCGTTTTCTATATCTCGTCCGCTGGCTATTATTTCTGCAAAACCGTCGGATGGGAGATCATTACTGCGGGAGACTTTGCCGATGACACTTTAAATATCGCTTCCATCGAAGCGGGAGATTATATTCTGTTTCGCTCTCCCCGATAAATCGTGCATATATCAAAGTATTTTCAGGCGAGGGAAAGGTAATAACGAGAATAACCCTCCGCCGCGGATCGATAATTTTGCCGGCGATCGACTTGGGGAACTTGGGCAGGCTGGCTGGATGAAATGCAGAATTCGTCTGTCGGAGAATTCCAATTAGACAATTCTCGGTCGAACGATTCCTCCGGAGCACTTAAGTACTCTATCTCGAAACTCTGTTGGGACGTTCTCCGGTCTCTCAAAATCATTTGTATAAGGTCGAGATCGGTCTATCTCGAGTTTCAAACATGTCATGCTCGCCGATGTGGTTCGTCCAGCCGATTACTCCGAAACAAACGGCGAATTGTACGAGTCTTCGATCTCTCGGTAGCTCTGTTCTATATGCGTCGATCGATCGATTGTCTCGAGAATCACCACCTTTGTCCGACGCTTACGTGGTAATTCTCCTGACCGTTAACGTTCATTCCGGGTTATCGATAGACCTGCTTGATGGCCGGCAATAAAAAACGAGCGTCTGAGATTATGCAATGTTGCTCGAGGTGCAACCTTATAAATCGCCTCCTTTTCCCATCAATCCGGCTGTATATCGAATCTCTTTTATATATCGTCGCACTTTAACTTTCTTTAATCAGCTTCGAAAATAAGGTATAAATAAAGTTCCATTATATACACGCGCGAAACTCTATATATATATATTTATATCTGTTCAAACAAATGGCCCTATGTCAAATACAAGCTACAGCGAATACAAAAACTAAACTCCATGAAATTTTCATTAAATGGCGTTGGCACGGATGCGAGTTTATTCTCATCGTGCAAATTTAAAAATTCATAACGAGGATTCCCACGAGAAAGAAAGATGGAGACAATAATACGAGTTGTATAAACTCTTCGTCGAGTTTTAATCTTCACGTATGATTCCAAAAAGAATCATCGTCGCCCAAGTATATTCATTCGTTGACTTTATCGTGCATCGGTAGCTCGTAAAACGTCTCGTTCTCTTTTATATTGCGACGGAAACTATTGCTTCCGATAGTAACGACGACGTCTTTTCCTTCCTTCCCTTAAGTCTAAGGCGAGCTTCGCGAAGCACGTAAGCTGCAAGGTGTTTATGACCGACGAAGCCCGGTCTCTCTCCGTTTAGTTTCGAGAAGAGAATGGGTATGCGTGGTCGCACTCTTTCAATCCCAGCTCTAATCGCCGACTTTTCATCGAGAATGTTCATCTTCGTTCCGAGATATTCATGAGAATCACCGCGGGCGATGCAGTTCGGCGCTAGCTTGATTGATAACGTCAGTCCTCATGTCGCGTGTTTTATACGTCTCGCGAGTGCAAGAAAAGAGAGAAAAGCGTATCGCATCCTGTCGATGGCCGACGGAAGAAAATCACGCCATTTCTCAGCGGATGGTCCACGGCGAGGAAAAAAAGCGGACAAATTGTCGGGGAAAAGACAAATTCGAGATAATACCATTTCTTTGCATAAACTAAAAATATATCCTAGTATAACTAAGATATTTATGGCACAATGAGTCCTGCTGTGTGTGTCGCATTTACTTTGCGGGGCTGATAAATTGCGATTGGATAACTCTTACGATAGGACAGAGTAAACTCGTGTACTCGGTTTGTATCGAATGTAACCTCCGATGGAATTTACGCGTGCAGTTAGGTCGAATCCAATATGGTATGCGCATCGATCGTAATGGATCTTTGATCAAATTACACGGGGGACAAATCAGCAAGATTGATGTATTTCAAGTAAGAGGCGTAATTAGGTATACGCAAAGCAAACTTTGATTTTCCCAAATGCGCTTCCCTCGAGATTCGCTTGTTCCTATTGTAACAGGATATATGAAAATCATACTGCTTTCAGAATCGATATCAAAGTTCATTTTGCTATTTTCGTGCGACGAGCTGTCATTAATTTAAGTAACTGTCAAATAAAAGATGTTAGCAAAGTAACGCTTAAAATGGATTTTAAATGGCAACTCTTGAATTTTTAACGTGTTTGTATTTGTGTCATTCAGCTAAAATTAATACATAGAAATATTGAAAGAACAACTCACTCAGCGAAAAATTGGGAAAATATGAAAAATATTGAAAATATTTTTGATGTTTCATATTTTCTCAATTCTTTTTAGTCGCGCATATATGTGCATTGTCTTCCAATACATCCGCATTTTCTTCTTATAAAAGAATAAATATATATCAAGTATATTCCTCAACAAAGCCCCGTATATAAAAGATGAAGGCAACCCTTGAGGTAACGCGATAAAACTGCAGATTTTATCAGCTTTGGTCGATTGATGCACGCCATCCATCCATCGAATGTATCAAATTTCAAAAATATTTAAGCGAGCACACGGCGGTAACGTGATATTTTTAACCCCTATCACAACTATGAGCACTTTAGGATTAAACTATATCAATGCACCCTTTCATTGGTGTGTCAATATTTTCAGTAACTATTTTTCCACTTCTCTTATGTGGTTAAATGTGTCCGATTCGCGGTTCAAATTGTTGATCTATGATTAAATTACTGTTTATTCTAATTTCGCGCAATTAAACATTTAAAATGCATAAAGTTGTACTGCATCAGCGAGCTCGAAAAAAAGACTCAGTATTACGAAGATCCAACCTGAGCTATTCACGTGAGACTATAAATTTTCAACGATTTCCAATAATTTTAAAACCGTAAAGTTGTTGCGAATTTTATAGTGGATGCAGTAACGCCAGCAATAAAAAAAGGGACGTTCCTACGTAAATATCGGCTATATTACGCCACGTCTTATGAATATTTAATCACGCTTCGTTCAAATCGTGTACTGACACGTATAAACACGCCTACAGATTCACACACATTTCTATGTATAATATATACAACGGAATATATGTATATATTCAGGTATGCACATAGTTGATCATTCAAGCTTTAAACGCTTGAATGTTGATTGTTCTAAACATAACTGTTGACAGTTCGAGTTTCTGTTTCCAGAATTTAAAAGTGTATAACAAGAAAAATATATACGGCAATAATGAAAAAACATTTTCTTCATATCATTTAAGTGATACTTACGTGACTAAAAATAATTTATAATAAAAATACCTTATTGATCTTTTTTTCTATACACTATGTATCTAATACTTATCAGTAATTATATTACTACATTTTATTGTTCGCAAAAATATTTTCGCAAAATATTTTATGCTGGAAGTCAAGCTTTGCTCTCTGTATCAATTATCATTGATAATTGAGACTTTAAAGGATAATCAGAGATCATTCTCACCAATATACACACCATTGTATTCTATATATTCTCATTTTTGTATTTTATGGCAAATATTTATTCGCCATTGTAATAATATATTAATTCTAATGCTATACTAATTAAAGGCAGAGCATTGTGCAAAAATAAGACTCACCTGTCACAATCAGCAATCTCGCATATCGCATCAATATAATTATCGGAGCAATTGACAAAATTGCAATACTCACCTGTAACAGAAAAAAGAATATCGCATTATTATAATATATCATATATATCTACATAAATCCTAACGAAATAATAATTAAAAACTTATGCACCGTGGGACGTGTTAAAAATATTAATTATATATGATTTTAGTCGTACTGAGAATTTTATAGAAACCTATCTTTATACAAAAGAAACAATAATGACGATAATAGAAAAAAGATTAACGAGATTGCGAGGAAGAAACGGATTTTGGTAATGAATAACAGAACGAATCTCCTCCAGTGCGAATGCGAGAAAGACGCATTCCCGGAATATTTAAAGAGATAACGTTGAAGAAGCTATTATTGTTAGCAATTAACCGCGTTTAACGTGTACCCATGAGTATCACGAAGCTCGTCGGTAAATACGAACAGATACGAGAGTCGGAGAGAGAAGGAAAGAGAGAGGCATTCATTTTAATTATATCGTTCATATTCATGAATAAACATGAATTCTGGATCTGACGTCCAAAATGTCCGCGATATCACGTGGCGAAACGGCGATCTCGGCCGAGCAGAAGAACAATGAGGAAGAAGACCGGATAATCTTTGCTGCGCATAATGAAGAGAGATATTCGGAATATACCCTGAATTTCTATATTTAAAGACAACTATAGAGGAACAAATCAAAAATTTATACAAATGTGCAATATTAGTTATGTAGGGAAAGCATGGTACGTGTATATCTACATAAATACAGCACACATCTATCTGTAGATTATTATCTAAATTTAATAAAGCGTATTAAGATTAATTTGAAATATAAAGATAAAAATCACTCGCTAGATCTACGTTACGTGAACGTAAGACATATACATCGGTGAGTTTTTTTTTTATATCACACTTTTTTTATAACACAACAGCACTCTCGTAAATTGTAATTTCTCTCTCCTTTCTCTCTCTGCGAGAAAATATTTAACACGAAGAGTCGCTTTGCGAACCATTGATCTATATCACCTCTTTCATTTTCATGATGAAAGACCATACACGTGGCATATTTTCGTCTAATTGTAAGTAACTTTCTTGCGGCGGTCGTATGCGGTTTGTATTTGCTTTATGTATATATACATATATATACACATTGAACAAATTTATCGAGAATTTTCCTAATGAGATTAGCTGGTAGTTACAGAAATAAAAAAATACCTATTAAACGTTAATTGTCAACTTAGTATATATTTTCTTGCTTCCACGTGAAGATTAGCGCTAAGTAATTAAGTGTGTATTCATGTAGATATATATGTGTGTTCAGATTATTAAGTACATCAGCATATAATCCTCCGCGATGCGATGATTGCAATAACAATGATGGAATATATTGTTTATCATTTATATTCAAAACCTTAAAAATACACGATATATATTCCTCATCCTCAAATACAGAATTATCTACATTCTGCAAAATGTGTCGTAATCACATTAATGATCCTCGTCCAATTTCCGATAAAGGCGTACAATATTTCATAAGCTCGTCTCGTCGAAGCAAATGTTTTTCCCGGCGCACTAAGAATATTATCATATTTTAATAATTCAGAGCTCTAGGATTTCACAAGTTGTTGCGAGAGAAAGAGACAAGCTGCTGTGATGATAGAAAATATTATGGCATACGACCGGCAAAGTTCCCTTTTCCTGCGCTCGCTCTATTGATATAATCTTATCAGCGTTGTCATAAGGGAAAATAACCCACGGACAGAAGAAAGAAAATAGGATATTAATCTCGTCTCGGTTTAGGTGTACCGGATGTCGAGAGGCCGAGGAATCAAGCCGGCGGATTCCAGCTTCAAATGTTTACCATTTGCTGTTTACAAAACGCGGCCAGCAAGATTAATATGTCGTTAATCGCGATTAATGCGAGTAAATTCTCTTTCATTACCGGACAAAAGCCGATTACTCTTTTCAAATAATACTTTCGAAGAATGGTAAATAAAAATATAATTTAATTTATTTCACGACAAAGCCTTCAGGGATTTTGTAAGTTCGCGCCGTTTCTAGCATTCATATCAGTCGGTTAATCTCTTTTTCTTTTTTTTGGGGGGGTCGCGTGAGCGTTTTTATCTTAGTTACCGTATGTCGTTTTTATCTTAGTTACCGTATTATATGTATATATGTAAAAGAGGTGCGTATAAATATAGTAGTGAAAAAAGGCCTAAGATCAAGTGTGCGATAAAATCCTACTACGACTGCAATGTTAATTAAAAATCGCATTTTCATATTGCAGACATGTATTTAACGATTTAAAGGACTCATCCAGAAGTGCATTTTACTTAACGTATAAATGCACGTAAATAAGAAAAACGAAGGAAAGTCGTCTCGGAGTCGAATATAAATGATCGCGATGCCGTGCTATCGAAATTTGTTTTCCATTTGCAATTCGCCTGCTTTGCAATCTACGAAGCGATGCAAATTGCGGGAATTGATAGAAAAAGCTCCGCTCGAGTGCAAGATGCGCTGTGGATTAAATCGCGGCTTCGCGAATTCGTTTCTTTTTGACGATCGAGCATCTTTGAGACTGTCGCGCGGGAAAGAATCTCCATGAGATTTTGCAAGAGATTCTGTGAGAGAATCGCTACTTGTATGCAAAACTTGGATAAAATGATAAGGGAGAGAGTCGATATCTCGTTTGCCTGAAACGAAATCGACCAATTGTTTCGATACCAACGGCCTCAAAAGATTCTCGCTTTTAATTCCTCCTATATTTGTTTTGTGCGATCAATTCTCTCGAGAAATATGAAATCTTAAATTAAAAAGAGAAACCGTCTACCTGGTTCGATTATCCGAATAGCAGATACGAAGTCATATAATAGATTCTTTTTCCACAGTATCACTTGGATCTTTTCCAGAGCGTAATTGTATTCGTTGACCTACTACCGGCATAAGTAAGCATGACTGCAGCATTAGGCAAGAAAAAGCGCGACGTAATTTTTTTCAAAAAGAATTTAAAATGTACATTTAAAATAGCCTTTTGATCGATCTAGAGGAAAACAAAAAATCCCGGCTTATATTTCAGCCGACTCGTTGTTGAGTGATTCATTACATATCCGGTTAATAACGTAAGTCGATCATGAGAGCGTTAATGAACATCTGCAGGATTACTCATACATCTTCGAGACACGAAAGCTGAGAGCTTAAGATCAACTAACTCACGATCGATTACCTGCTACGTATCGATATCGTTGAACCGATCCGACGAAGAGCTTCTCAAGCATATAAATTTCATCTATCAATATAATTGCATTTCGCGTTAATATATAACAATTTATAAAAAAATTTCGTTTATAATCGCAAAAAATATATATGTTCGAACGTGCTTTCTGGGTTTGTAACCCAGTTCGAACTAACGATGATGATTCTCTACGGAAAGTTAAAGCGGAACTTTACGCGGCAGAAATTGCACAACGAAAACGGCTCCAATAACGCTAACGGAGGCTTCCTTGCGCACAGGTAGGGCGCATCAGTTTAAATTATATATGGGAGGGAGGAAAGAGGAAGGTTATTTTGTTGTGTGCGAAAGTCGCGTTCAAGTAAATGCTCATATCTCCTGTAAACGTTTACAAAACTTCGGGGGCGATATCGCGTAGGATGCAACCGGAATTTACCGGCGCGATCTTCCGACGAAAGTAGATGAAAACATTTGCGCCGCAATATATAGGGTGCATATAGCTCGCTCCTAGTTGCTCTCTCTCGTTATCGAATCCCAAATAACAAGCGTCGAAGGCAAACAACCTGACCGTGTCGGTATAGGGACGAATACGAAGCATTCGACGATAAGTCCTGCGCAGGCGGCGAATGCATCATGAATATTTCAAGTCCCGTAAGTGTCTGCCACGCTGGGGCGGTGGTAGAAGATGTTTCGAATTCAACCGAAGTTGAAGCAACGACCAAGTGTTCCTCCTCCTCCTCCACCTCCTCCTTTTCTCTTCTCGTCCGAGATCGATGAAGCTACTTTTTCTCTTCGACCGCCGTACATCCTCCTCGCGAGCAAAGAAAAGGGAAGAACCAACTTCCCCTTCCCCATTATCGTCGATGTACGGTCTGATAAAAATCGAGAGATCATACACACCCGCCTCGTGCACGCGAAACCGCACGAAGCGTTTAAAAATACTAATTTAAAAATGATGAAGCGAACCGCATTTCTCTGGTGTCGCCAAGCGAATGACGATCCTCTCGGTTTCGCTCTCCTGTTGCTCTCGCTTGTCATCCGTCAAGGAATAACACGTGTACCTGGCGCGAGTAGCGAGTAACAAATGTGGACGCGTGACTTTTCATCATGCGGTCTCGTGTCTCCTCTACCATTGTGAACCGGTGATACATTTTGCCACGCTGCTGCTGTTGCTGCCGCGATAAAGTATAGCTCTATTATAAACGGGGATATTTTTGCCATTTCGATTGCGTTTCCGATTAACGATTACAAAAAATCTATTTGCCAAAACGACCCCGTTGATTAAAACGATACCGCAGCTTGATTAAAACTAGAAAGCAAATTAAACGGAATTTTTCGCGGCATAGATGTATCGACGTTTTTTTCAATAAAGATACACGACTGACATCATCCGACTGACGTTCGAAAGTAATATAATTTCCGTTCGAGCTGGCAATGACTCACCACGTTTCCCTGCAAAGTATCGGGATTGAGAACCATCATTCGCTTCTGCTTCTTGATGAGTCTGCTGAGTCTTTGAGTTCTTTGAGCGCAGGTCAAGGGTTTTCCGGAGATCGGAGATTCATTTTGCTGCTCGTCCTCGAGATCATCCTCGACGCTCTTTTCGACCTGGGAGTTTCGTCTAGTCGTTACTGTGCTTAAGGGCACAGCTTTCGCGATCAAAGTCTCGCTTCTTACGCTCCAATTGGACCCGCCATATTTCTTCATGTTCATTAGGTCACCTATGCTGCCTCTCACGCTACTACTGCCCAGCTGATGATGAAGATTCGTTCGGGATAGAGCGAGCGAATGCGGAAGCGATTCGGAGCATTTTTCCGTAGACTTTACGACGTCCGGAAGGATTGCCTTGCTTTGTAGTTTGTCCAGATCCGATAAGGAGGATCCTCGACGTATTTTGCCCGCGGTTGAAAATTTTTCTTCAAGAATCTCTCCTTTTCACCGCGATTCACGCTCTTCGAAGATAACGATGACTTCATAGCGAAGAGACCCGCCTTCAGAGGGAACAATAAAGCCCATTCCGTCGACTTTTCCCGACTCTCCATTGTGTATCTTTTTTTTCGTCTCTCTTGAGAAATTGATAGACCAGACCGAGAGAGAGAGAGAGAGAGAGAGAGAGAGACTCAATGGAATAGCCCTTTTGTTTCAGCGGAAATCGAGAACTCAATTCGTCGGAACGTAATCATTTTTCCGGTCAACGCAAAAGTCACTTGATATATTCTCGTCGCTCGCGACGATTTATAAACACGGTATTTCGTTATACAGAAACGAATAAAAAAAAATATCGAAACAAATGTTGCGATTATATCGCTATCTTCGCACGCGCGATAGTTTCATATCCGCTCCGGTGTTTAAGGATTTCCGTTTCTCTGATTATCGCGCCGTCCATAATTGTATCCTTGTACTTTGATTCGACATACAAATTTCTCGTACAGCTCGTCGTATTTATCTTCATCGCACATGTATATATAATAATTCACAGGTGTCTGATACATTTTCTTTTTCAAATCCTTTCCGCGATAAATCCCTCCGATAAGTTCTTTACATCTCGCAATATAGAATATCTCTCTCGTGTCTTCGATGCTATTTTAAAATTCGAGAAGCGCGGCGCGATTTTTTATCTCGACGCGAACTCATTAGTTCCCCACACGCGAAGAAAGATCCTCTTTCGGCCAGTTCCACGATCACACTCGCTAAAAAGATCCGAGGGCAGGGGAATCGAGCCAAAGGAGGTGGTCAGTTCTCCCTCGGTCTGATCGCTAGGTGGTATTTTCACTTAAGTTAACACGACCCCCCGTGCAGATGTACCCTTTGCGAGAGCACCCGACGACACTTCCGTCTAATAAAAGCCTAATAACGATCGATACAATCGCCCCGCCTCTTTCGTTCGCCGATTCGTTGTAATCAAGAGTGTGTGCTTGACTTCGAGCTCCCGAAGAGCGAGCTCCAACTATCCCTTCAAGGGAACTCGAAAAAAGCGGGATGAAAAGTATCTTCTCTCTCGGACATCTTTTGTACGACGCCGACACGCTCGTAGTAGCCGGGGCATTGTGACTATTACGATGCTACTGAAAGGAAAAGTCAGCTCAGCTGGCGTTGACAAGCGCCAGTCGCGATAAGCAAATGGCGGGAGTCGAGACCTTGTCGCGAAGGTGATACCGATTCCTCGTCGTCGGACGAGGCAATCATACGGGCTTCTGATTACGACGCGGGCCACCGGCTTGGCCTACATAGATTACATTTTACGAGGTCCTGTACGCGTACCTATACAAGCTCAAGAGTGTCGCCTTCAATTTGTTCCATTGTTAGCGGCTGAAATCATTTCACCGAGTGCGAGTATCGTCATTTTAATTTGCTCGCATGTACGAGAGATTGATCCTGCTAATAATATTTCTCGTCACACGTATTTATAAAATGATTGATTAAAATATATAAATTTGATGTAAATCAATTAATATTAATATTAATTATAAATATATATTATTAAAATGTAATTACATACGACTGACGGGAAATTTTAATATAAAGTGTATATATGCATATATATGTAGATGCGTTTTGTGCTTGGGTACAATTTATGTTATAGAGTTATATCGTACGACAATTATAAGACGAATCATTTTAATTATCCGTTCTGAGCGCGAGAAATTATGCGTAAGGCAATGAGATAATGACAAGATGAGAGCTTCCTTTATCAAGGCGCCTCCGACGATGGAATGCAAAATGCACGAGACGCGGTGGAATCCGAATATATAAAATGCAAAGTGAGCGCGGCCAGGGCTTAGAAACGTACATCTTTACGTAAATAATAAAAGACGCAGCAACCGGAGAAATCCGGCGGCTAGCCGACGATCACCACGATCAAGTATAAGAACGTGTCTACACGTAAAAGCCATTTTATCAGGAAGAACAAGAAGGGAGGAAAAATACCGGGGCGCAGGAAATCGACGTTCGAGCTCTTGTAAACCGCAAAAGCGGTTCCAAACAATAGAAAAATTTCTTCGTCGTCGAAATACCGTCCAAAACTCTAATGCGATCCGATCATTTTTCTTCTCGCGAGGAAAAAAGTAAGAGAGAGGATAGGAAAAAAGGAGCCACGTCGGGAATTATATCTTCGCGCAAAGTTCCCCATCGACAGGTTTTTGTCGCGAGACGATTTCTAAAAAGACGAATGATTCGCGAATTATCTCGTGCAAATCGCACACTCGGGACAGACTCGCACTCGGTTTAGCACACTCCGGCAAATCGATCCTAATTGTTTCCCGGAGGACAATTATTCCGCCGAGGATAGTTCTTCCGGCGTGCAATCGGCAACGAGAAGAATAACGAGAGTGCGATGTGTATACGGGAACAAATGCGCGAGAACACGCAAGGGCGATAATTGATCCCCGCAAGAATAGTCCGGCGAATTCGGCTATTATTTCCTCGCGCGAGCGCGACAAAAATTCGCGAAACGAAATGCAGGTACCTCGATTCTTTTATCGCGCCTTTCTATTCTTTCCACGGAAAAGGCCGTATTTTTTTACGCGATATCGCGCAATGTAAATCTTTTTGAAAATCAACAGCCATTTGAACAGCTGTTGATTCCGAAAAATTACGGCAGAAAGCGATTTCCAAGCCGCGCGGAAGAGGAAAACAAACAATCACTTTGGCAACTGCCTGTTTCGACTCCGCGTCGGAAATTTACATTTTCCACTCCTCTTCGGGCCAAAGTTTCTCGACCATATATATCGACTGTCGTCGCAGTTCTCTCTCTCTTTCCCAGGAGTGTATCAGGTGCGTACTCCCCGGCCCTCTCCCTTTAGTTTGGACCGACAAGACTGCGTTAATGGAAGTTTCGTGTAAGCCAGACGATAATCTGGTACCGGGTCTGATACCGAGACAACGAGCGAGCCATACTTTTAAAGTGGCGATAATGAGCGCCGATAATTCGAGACACTTTATGTCGTCGAGTCTCATTCGTCTCTCACCTAAATCAATAGCGGTGTATGACGGTAATAACGTTTAACGGTCATCGATTAGCGCGATACGAAATGCCGGCGCACGCCGGAACTCAAGGAGAAAAAGTGAGAAAAATTCCATAATGCCTCGTAATACGCGTATGTCGTGACTCTTATACTTATCACCGTGTTGTTTCGAGTGGGATGAAGCGAACGTTTCGGCGAAACGATGCTATCGATATGTCACGCGAACATCCGATCATTTTACAATTTCGTTCTTCTCGGAAAGTAACGTCACGCTTCCTTATCCGCCTGCAAAATATTTGCGCAATTGTTTCCCAGGTGATATATATGCATGTGCAATATATACTGATGCATACGCAGTGTTTTATTCCTTGAATGGTCGCATTTTTCTGTCAATCGATACAAGACGAAACTCCCGCGTCTGCATTAATGATAACGTCGCCAGGGTTCTATCAATCATCATGACACATTGCCGCATCAGCGTATGCAAGATACACGAGCACAACTAATTTATGCAAATAGGATATGCCTGTACGGAGATAGAGTCGACGAGTTCGCGCTTCGCTTAATTTCAACATCGTCTCATTGAATGTATTCATCGATAGGGGATCAACGCACTGCCAGCGACCCTTCGACCTTGAACAATTAACATACAAACAAAGACCCGTAGCTCGTCTGTATGCGCATCGGTATAAATCGATACTGCGCGAAGGTAATGATTAACAAGGCCACTGTAGCTTTCGGGAAGGACTCTACCGCGGATGCGGGCCGCCGGCATTTTTTCAAAGGTCGTCGCTGCAGTCGATGACCGTCGTTCGTGATCGATTTAATCGTCATTGTTGTTTTCTTCGACATGGTAACGTTGGCAAACGCGAGAAATGAAAAGTGAATTCGTTGGTCCCATTTCTCGCTAATCGACAAAATAAATTAAAGGAGCTCTCAATTTTAAGAAGCGCAAATTACGTACGTTTAGCTGCATGATGATCTGATTGTACGCCCAGTGCCATCGTTGTCTCGCCGTCATTTCTTTACGTTCTTTCAGCTGTGTGGGTACGGGTGCGACTCCGACCATCTCCAGAAGTTCCTCGTCTGGCGGCGGTTCCGGTGGACTTCTCGGTGGAGTGTCCATCTGAACGCTCTCGTCCAATGACGCCTGCTTAGTTATGCTCCCTGAAATTGAGTCGGCCGATTGATCGATCAGTAAATTGTCAAATAATCTGGTATTCTTTTATTTGGTTAATAATTAATGTTCTTACCACGCGGACTTTCAATATGCGACAAAGACGGGGTTCCTTTATATTGATCGACCAAAGAGCCCTCTCGAGAGTTACGAAGCAAGGCTTCCTCGCCTCGTTCGTACCTTTGGCAATAATGTAAATTAATTGCATATAATATACATAAAAATTAAAATATCAAAGATTATGAATTGTAATTTAATTTTATACCTATCAAGAGTCTCGTCCCGCATCTGATAGTCCCCGTTTATCGCGTTACTCAGAACGATATCGCTCTGATCTACCGATTCTTGATCCTTGAAGTGACCGCGTTGATAACTTTCAGCTCTGGAGATGGTTTGAAGTGGAGTAAAGTTCTGTCCGTAATTGTTTCCTCTCTGTTGATACGAATCGGTTCTGGTGAGAGGCGGCTTGAATCCTTCGGTAGTCGACGAGAAAGAATCTTTCCTGGGCAGTTGTGAATACGAGTCTCTACGACTATAATTATCCTCGGGATAATTGTCCGAAGCATAAGAGTCTCCCCTAGTGAGCTTCGGCTTCTGCGTCGCCGACTGAGAGTGTTGACTGAGCTGACTCTGATGCGACAGCTGCGAGTCTTTTCTCTGTGACTCCTTGGGAATAATTTCCGGATATTCCTCGTCCTCGATGATGTCCTCCTGATAGGAATCCGTTCTGGCCAACGGTCGTTTGCCGTTTACGAGATTCGTGGTGGTGTGGACCATCGCGGTGGTGGTTACGTGATTGGGAGTCACGTGATTCACCATCGTAGTCGCCTGGGATTGAGCGACATTCGGCGAGGAATCCACCAAAGTGACGGCTGCAGAAATTGAATCACCGGCCGTCGAGTACTCGTTGTATCCCTTCAATTGATTGCTGTTGACGGAACTCACAGCAGTTTCAAACGAATCCTTTAATTCGTCGTCCCTGGACTCGAGCGAATCCGTGTTCTGCTGAAGAAGCGGACTGGTTTCGCGCTTATTGCCGAGCTTCTTCCTCCTCGAGGCGTTCAATTCCTCATTCTCTTGATAAATGTATTCTGATTCGCTCGACGGATAACCATTTGCCCTTGTCTGACCGCGAGGCGTAGTCACGGAGAGCTCGGGTACTTCGCTCTGTCTTCTGTCCGTCGCCGTTGCCGGACTGTCTTTGTAACGCTGTTCCTCGAAGGATCCTTGATAAGAGTCCTGATACTCGTCGTAAACATCTTGATAATTTTCTTGATAAGGTTCCTGATAATTATTCTTGTACGTCGTAGGCACGTCTTCCTGTTTACTGTATGGCGTTTGATAATTTACAAAATTTTCCTGCGGCTGTTTTGTATAAGATTCTTGATAGTTCTCCTGCGATGTAACAGGCACTTGATTGTACGTCTCTTGATAAGTCTTTGGATAATCGGTCGACGTATTATTGATATTATATTGAGAATCATATTGCTGATCAGGCTGATACTGATTATATGTATTCGTGACGTTATTCTGATCGTAAACGCTCGACGGTACAGTGCTGACGCCATAGTCGTCGTATTGCTCTTGATAAACGTCCTGCTGTTTATAGTCCTCCTGATACTGAATGTTATTCTGATTAAAGCCCATCTCCTGATAATTGTCCTCGATTATCATACCGTCAGGCTTGTCGTACTGATTCTTCGTCTGATTTGTATACTGGTGATCGTTTGCCTGGCTGGCGATCGGATATGTCGTGTCTAGGTAGGATTCCTGCTGATACGTTTCGGTGTTCTGTTGCGTGTAAGGTTGCTGATACTCGTCCTTGTATGAATTCTGCTGCGGGTATGTAGTCTGCTGCCCGTAGCTGTTTTGTGTCGTTTGCTGCTCCGGATACGATTGGTCATATTGGCCGTCAACCTGCGTCGCGTAGCCGTACTGATTATCCTGATTCACCTCAGGATAGTGAGTCTTGTTAACGGCGTGCACCTGATCGACCTGGCCGGTCTGCTGCTGACTGTAAATGTTCTCCGTATACGTGTCCTGCGGTAGATTATCCTGACTACGGTAAGCGTAATTATAATCCTCGTTGTAGTCAGATTTGTAATAGCTTTCCTCGGAGGGCGTTCGGGTCTTTGGCAGTTGTCTGCTCGGCGTGGCCGGCAGAGAGGCGAGCTTACGGTTGACCACCACGTTGCTCGGCTTGGTCGGGGTCGGAGGTAGTTTCTTACCGGTGCCGCCCTCCTGCCGCGACATCGGACGCTGCTGCGGCTGCAAGACCTTCCGGCGACGAGTATTGTATCCACTTTACAAAAGAATATTCACACACATTAATATATACGTGCTGCCTGTTTAGAATCTTTCATTTTAAATTACATGTTTTCCAATATTTTATGTAATTATGACTTTAAACGCGCTTTAACACTCTAGATTTAAATAATAAGAATTATTCACAGAGAAAAAAATTAATAATTAAATATAATTTCCGGTATGACGTACTTATAGTCGAGTTCTTCCGATTCGTAGCTACGTTGTCTGGTAACAGTGGGCCTGTACTCTGGCCGATGTATACCGATGCTCGAAGCTGGCCTCTGCGGAAGCGTCTTCCTGTTTCGTTTATTTTCATAGTGCGTACTTGTTCCCGAGTACCGTTTCCCTCCGCTGTCCCATTGTCTGTCTTCGTCGTCCTGACCATATCTACGAAGAGAAATAAGTTAGTTTTCTCAACGACGATTTTAACGTTTCTGTCTACGGTATTTATTATTGTTCTGCTTACTTACCTCTCATCCTGATAGACATATCCCGTTATATTATCGTAGTACTCGTTATACCTAATATCCGTCTCGGATTCCGGATATGTAGCACTCATTTTACCCACTCTACCATCGCTGCTATATCCATCAGCGTAAAACGAGTGATCGTCATATAGAGTCATTTGTCTTTCCAGAGACGGTCTTCTATATGGAACTGTTTGGAAAATATAGATAGAAGTGTCAAACATATTGCTTTCCATCTCTAACATTATCTTATAGCGAATATTCGATAAAAGCGAATAAACTTCATAAGTAAATATGTAGATTTATTTAAAACATAAAATATTATTACACATAGCAATTGAATATAGTGAGGATTTATAAACGCATAAGGATAAGGGAGGGAAAAAATTAAATATAGAATTTTTTATTTCCATTTTATAACAAATATTTGCGATAAAACTAAGCGCATATTGAATAAAAATTTATAGATTTATTTAATACAATATTTTTTCATTAATAACACATACAGCAAAAAAATAACATGTGGAATTTGTAAACGTATAAGGATAAAAAAAGAGGAAAGATTAAATAAAGAAATTTTTATTTCTGATACTTTATAGCATATATACGATCAAACTAAACGCTTAATAATCAAATATGTGGATTTATTATATATAATATTTTTTTTATTATTACACATATAACGAAAGAAATTTTATAAACGCATAAGGATAAGAAGAAAGAGGAAAGAAAATAAAATAATTAAATAAAAGACAAGAAAAACACGAGAATTTTATTTGATAATCTGCAATGCGTTAATAATTAGAATTTAGTACCTTTTCCTCGTCTTTTTGTGGCAGATGTGTTGTTTGAGTAGTATTCAGTATCGCTATAAATTCTGTCGTCGACCCTCGTTCCGTGATAATCATAACCCTCGCTGTACCAGCCGTCTTGGCTGAAAGTAGAGATAACGATCAAAAAACGCTGATTACATCAAGAATGAGGGATTGAACTATGGATGAGATGATAAGGGACTTTAATCAATCTTCTTGAATGATCAGCTGTGACTATTAATTGTATCATGCAAATGCCTGTGAATTGATTAATGAATCATTTGAGCTTGCTAATTAATGTCTTCAATATAATTAAATTTTACTAATATTTACACACAATCTTCTCTTGGAAATTCACCAACATATTCGCGTTTTAAAATTTTATACTTTTAAATAAAAAATAAAGTCACGTGTAACTAAATTAAAGCCGTGTACAACTATTAATTAATTATAAAGGTGATTTTTATTTTTGTAACATTTTATATTATATTTTTTAAAATGCATTATATAAATGCTTGAAAATAAGTACATGGTAATAGTAACCTACATTATAACGAGCGGTTCGCTGTAATCACTTTAGCGATCGATGTGTTTGCAATTGCATATGGTTAATTAAGCGCAATGCAATCGCATAAGCTAACCCAGCGTTACGATAATGCGCGAGATGGTGCTATGCGAGATCGTGATATGCTTAATAAGAACGAAACGTGATGAATGAAGTTGATAATCACGTATGCGTGAGCGTGTGCTATAAAAATAGTGTAGTCACTAAAATTCTCACGAAACCTCGCGGTCGCGCTCGCATTCGTACCTGTCATCGTAATCCCAAGTGTGCTTCCGTCGTCTGAATCAGGCAAGAAAATAATAAACGGTTTTCTTCCGTCATATTAATCTCTATAAACTTGTAAAAACTACTATGCGCAATTGTCACATAGACAACAAACTATATATATATATATTTTTTTATTTTATAAAATAGCGTCGCGTCGTGAATTAACGCATATACAAGAATCGCCAATGTGTGTTTAGCGTTATTGATTGATTACCTCGTTATTTGAATAGATGGTATAAATAAATCTATTAAATTGATTATAATTGAGTTATAAGAGTTGTGTGAAATTCCGCGATAATTCGACTTGTCGGTAATACCTGTATTCCTTGTAGTGCCTCGGTCTACTGTTGTAAAAGAGTGGCTCGGAAGACTCTGAAGGGTGCTGCTGGGACTGCAAGTACCTCTGCGGTAGACCATCCTCTGGATACGGCTCATCGTATCTCGGACTGTGGCCTGAACCTCCGTAACTTCCGTAATTGCTTGGCGCCAGTCTTCCTCCGACGGTGACTGGAACCTGGCGACGTTAGACTCTTAATTTATTCGTCCCGTAATTAGCGATAAGAGATTATAAGTGGATAGGAACAATTGATTATTCAAACGACAGATGGTCCAATCGTTTCGGACCTCTACCGTTCCGACGAAATAATAATCAAATGAATAAAATAGGTAATAATGTCAATTAATAGTATATTGTTTTTCCACGTATTAAGCTTTTCTGCGATTCCATCGTCGATCAATACCTGATGATCGTCTCTCTCGTAACTATTTTCTCTCGACGTCTCGAGGGACCTTTGAGGTGTAGCCAATTGGTTAGCCGCTGTACGAAATTGCGAGGCCGAGCTGTTCGCGCCCTGTCCACCTACTGGATAATTCAAGTCCGACGTGTAGTCGGAGTCCTCCGAGTATCCCGCTGAAAGATGGATTACAACGTATAGTCTGTATACTGTGGAAAATATTATCCAATATTATCCAGAAAAATTTAGGTAAGATTAGCAACGCTTAATAGTGCCCTGATAACTTCGCATTGAGGTACCGAAATGTCGCCTCGCTTCTGCAACATTGTACCGAAAATTATTAATTTTCCTACAGCTACATGATTAGGAAACAAAACGCATATAGGATAAATGAAAGAAGAAAATCATATTTTAAATAGAGAAAAAAGCAAATTATTTTACATATAATAATTCCCATAGCCTCATATAATTATATATATGTATATATCGAAATGCGAATCGACAATACACTTCGCAAAATTCAAGTTTACGTCGGTATCGTAACTTGACAGTCTCTTCTCTGAATAAAACGTGAAGCCAATTCCAACTTCGTCGTGATAGTTTCGCAACTTCCCGCAGACAGAATTGGTCGATATTGGTAGAATCCGGGAACTGAAGTGGTGCAATAGCAGGAAGCAAGATGAGTATAGTTAACAGCCATGCGACAAATTGATCTTTACGTAGGCATCGTCACGATTTCCTTCTAGGAGACTCGTGTGCGTTTTTATTTTTTTTTTTTCAGAAAATTGGGACCGATAGGAATGCACATTACCGTACAAAAGGTATTGTGGAAACGTTTGCAAAAACATAGAACAAAAAAAATCGGCCAGACATCAACGAGCTACCGAGTACAGAGAAAGAGAGAGAAAGAAAGAGAAACAGAGAAAGAGATAAAGAAAAAGGAAGAGAGCTAATCTGTTTACATGCCTTCTCATAGCTGTTACTTGGGCTTGCTAGAAAGGGGTTGCTAGAGAGGGTGTAACAAGGGTGGTAAGTTACCGACGATATAACGTCGATGGCCGATAACACGTGTATGAAATGGCGTCCCTTATGCCTGTTTCTCTCCAGAGTACATCTCTCGCTACATATTCTCCGTGGATAAGAATGGCGTGTAGTCGCCGATCGTAGATAGGGACTAGCACGAAACCAAATTGATTTCTCGCATGAAAAAACAGGGGCGTAAAAGTTTTATGACTTACTCGGAAGTAGCGTTCGAGCGAACGACCTAGAAAGCCACGGTTTCTAAAAATACTGCAAGTATGTCAGACGTGTAGATGAAAGCGTTGTGTGACGTAGGCTGCAGTAAATTAACGCTCGCGATATAAATTTTACAGCGGTATCCGAGCACGACAATTCAATCTCTCTTCGCGAATACATCGCGTCTTCCCGGAGTTGAAATGAAATGCAAGTAGTAACGATCCGCGAACGGTTCGAATAAGTAGTAAGAGCGCATGATAGATCAGCCGCGGCGAGCCGGTATAAGAAGCGAAGAGAGATACGAGCTCGTGCGCGGATCTCCTTTTGAATAAAACTGAAATTGAAATAATCCAATATATATGCGCTTTTATTTTATAAAACTGAACTCTTGCGAAAGAGCGGGTCGATAAAATATCAAGATTTCTTCTGACTTTCTCGGGAGGGACGCGTACGTTCCATTTATTCGGACTCGTCGCGAACGAAATTTTCCCTCGGAGAGAAGAAAGACCAGATTCTCCGATATATCGCGAGCGAATGTGCCGGATAAGAGATGAAATCGATCGGGGGAGAGGAGGACGCGCGTTTCTCTCTCGCCGCAAAGAGCATTCGAATGAAATATCAGCCATCTAAACTGTAACTTGTGACGGTACTTACAGTGGCCTATATTGTACAATATCTGCCTTCGTGCCTGTTCGGCCCGCGCCTCCTGGTCCATCATGTTGTTCAGCATTTCCAGCTTCCTCTGCAGATCGGCCGCCTCCGTGTTCTCGGGGTCTTTCGAAAAGATAGATATCGATGGGGAAACAGTTAATCGCGAGTCTCGATAATCTGACGTCATTTTCAGTCGATCTGTCATCCTAAGTTTACTTAAATACGTACGTATTGTATTTTCTCGTGAAAAGAAAGATAAGTCAATTATTGAAAAAAAAAATATATATAGATATATATATACACACACTGTCTACGATAATATCGTATCTACAATAATGTTCCACTAGTATATCTAACGAGCTCGCGACAAAGAGCATTTTAAGGATTTTACGTTACTTGGATGAAATATTGTTTAATCCTAATGTATAATATTGTACATTTCTCATCAACTGATGGAAGACAAAATATGTAAAACGCGTCTGTTTACCGTATACACGAATGTATATACATTGCTCGAAAATTACGCAAATCTCGATAAGTGGTCCAGAAAGGGCAACTACGCTAGATTACTCTGTCTAAATAATACAACTCTCAGTATTATTCCGTCTCTCTTTCTCTCTCTCTCTCTCTCTCTCTCTCTCTCCCATCATAATTATATATTGAACTAATAAACTCCAAGGAGAGTTTGTAAACTTTATCAACCTACGACAACGCGACTCGCCGCTTCCAGAGAGTTTCAGGCCGATTTATTACGGGACTACCTATCTCATCCCAGTCAACAATTCTACTACTCTGACAATATTAGAAGATATTTCCCAGTGCAAGAGAAAGAGAAAGATAGAGATAGAGAGAGAGAGAGAAAAAGACGACCGTCTCGGCGTTTACTCCACGCGCAAAGTGGTGTGCATTAATTTCCCGTCATCCTCGCGCTTCTCATTCCGTCCTCAAGGAGAATCTGCCATTTAATTAACACTTTGATCGGCTACTTAGAAATGTGATATATACGTACGCAACGTCATCGGGAAAGTAACGTTATTATTCCACCCAGTTGGCGTCATTCCAAAATAGATCGCACTTATTATTTCATCCTCGTCTCCTATGCTTTTCTTTGTAATATTTAATTCTTGCAATTTCACTTGCAAATGTATATCTCTTAATTAGTACGGACAATTGTTTCGGGATTGCGAAATAATCGGTCGTCGCAAAATATACGCGACCTTGGCACGCGTATTTTGCATTTCGTTTCCGCGGTTATCACGAGACGTATATTGCATGTGTTTCGTGATGCATCTTCCGTGTCGTGCAATTTCCGTGGAATCTTGGGTAATTGTCAGCGAAACTTGTGGATCGTAAAGAACGTGTTCTCTCCGGTACCGGTTTCTCGTCGGTTACCTTTCCGGATGCAATTAAAAAAAGGGTCAAGCCCTGGAGGAGAGAGAGAGAGAGAGAGTCGTCTCGGGAGAGTACTACTTTTCTTTGAAAGCCGCTGCCGCGTTTCGGTCCTATCTCAATCTCGGCGGCGTATCTCTCCACTTTTCCTCCTCTCTGGTGACCCTCGTTACTCGTCCTCTGCGGTTCTTTCGTCCGTTCTGCCGCGCCGACTCTCTGTCGTCTCTCTTCGGTGAATACAACGAAAAAAAATGTGCGCATCCAGCTGTATCCGGAGTACCATAACGTGGCGAAAAAAAGCGCTCCCGCACTTTCGACTCGCCTTCCCGTTGTTGTTTCGTATTCCCGGCTGGACCGGACTGAAATAATAATGCAGTGTTGCAACTGCAGGCGCCGGTAATGGCGCGATAGTAACAGCTGGTCGTCCACATATTAACAAACTTTGACAACGCGCGGTGAAAACCAGAGAAAGTCTCATCTTCTCTATCTCTCGTATCTATCTTCTTTTTCTACTTCTGCTTCGATACTTTATCGGACATCGCTCACCTTCGATCGGCTAAATTAGGGATATTGACGTCGATACGATATCGCGATCGAGAATATAATTGGCGGGCAGTTTACGTCTCGATATAGTTCGACAATAACAGGAAGTTTCTATCTCTCCTACGTTTCCTTTTATTTCTGCACATTTTTCAACAATGCTATTTACGTTATCTGTAAAATATTCAATGTATGTACGTTATTATTTCGTTCATTTCAATTGCAAGAAATTTTGTCGAATTTCCTCGGGCGTTCTTAAGACTCTGTGTGGCACAATTATGGTAGGGCGACCTTCCAGAATCGAAGAGGAGACCGTATTTCTCGCGAGATTCTCAAAGAAACGAAATAAATTTCACACAATAGAGCGCCGAAACCGTAGTTCCCACCCTCTTCATGTACCTTCGCTGCTTGAAGAAATTATACCACGTTACCGCTGCTTCTCAAGCAGACTCTATTGATTCTTCCACGACTTAAGAGAATCGCTTCAGCTGACTTTAAATGGGCATCCGACGTCTCTCCTCGATGTAAACGATTGACAAGATTTTCTGCGTTTTGAGAAACACTCGAAATCTTTTTCTTTCACATTTTCATTATCATTTTGTCAAGACAAAATTTGCGTAATAGTACAGCGAATTTAATTTTAAACTTCAAAACAATTCGAAACAATTTTGGTAATTTTTTTCTTAGATATTATCACGCGTTAAACAATTAATAATTAATAGCTATCATTATATTATTTGCATTTTAATCCGTTTAATTGCATCGCGATCAATTAATTATCTTTATAAAAATGATCTATACAAATAAAAAAAAATGTAATATTATTTTTAGATTATTTTTATAAAAGCTGCAAATCGCTTAAAGCAGCACTAAAAGTGAATTTAAGTTTCAAACGGGTCACCTTATATACCGGCAAGCAATACAGGTAAAGATTTATTGGCAAGTTAAATCCCCGGAAGGTCGTCTCAGTTCTATTCATCACTCCTCGACGCTCTTATCTTTAACTCCGTATATCCGGTTTGCCTCTTCGTGCTCGGCCGCACACGTGGCTGAGCAAAAGCGTGCAATTAGTCCATTTTAAATAACAGGAGGCATATAAATAGAACATTTGTCGCGATTATTAGACAGATCGTCGACGTAACTATTAATGAACTAAAGTCGGAAAAGCATCAACGATATATATTGAATCGCATCGATCGTTACTCGGTTTTACACCGACAGTTCTGATCTTGAAACTTTAAGACGATATTTTTCAATAGTAAAAACTATTCGAGATACATAATTGTAGACAATAATGAAATTAATTGTTAATATCAATTTCAATGCATGAGAGAATATTTTGATGATATGTATATATAATAGGGGAAAGCCGAGTTTCGAATTCACGTATCAATATCAAGTCAATGATTCTCCATTTGACTGAGAAATGACCTATTTAATTACTCCCTTGCGCACACATACATATATAGAGTTGTATCCATTTCTCTCGTACATGTCGATCTTTATTTGCTTCCATTTCCCGAACGCGTAAACTTTTTCATAGGCAAGAAAGTCGAATATATATCGCGAACGAGATACGTGTTCCGCACATCGAACGTTAACAAGTGTTTTATGCCGTGTTATGCGCATCTCGAGCGATAAAAAAGATCCTTCTTCTCCCTGCAATACGTAATACTTTCGAGCAATGCATACACATCTCTTGTTTTATTTTTTCTTCAAAAATTAACGAGTATTTTAAAATTAAATTATTTCTAGTCATAGTAATTCCGCCGTAATTTAAATTGAAAACAAAATTGCAATAGCAATCTCGAGGAATCTATAAATTATTATCTTAGCACGTACACAATGAAAAAAATTGAAAGAAAAATTGAACGATTCATCTCGACGCTCTATCGAGGTGTCGCTTTCGAAAAATACCGTCTTGATTGTGTGCGAGAGAATGATCGCGGAGGAAAAGAATAGGTACATACTTCACAATGCTTGCTCATGCTCGAGTAAGATTAAACTATAAGGGTTCTCTCCCGTCATCGTATTCGAATGAATTCGTACTTAACGATGGACAGTGTACTAACCACTAATATTGATATTGCTCCCCCATCGTGGTTTGTTTGTGATTCTGACGTTAACTTTGCTAATAATGCGACAGCACAATTCTCGTGTAACTAATTACAAAATACAGATATATATATATATATATATATAGTTGTACGTAAAACAGAGATATAGGTAGAGAGACGGAAATAGCGGAAAAAGGGGAACAAGTGTCTACGGACAGTCGTTAATTACAGTGTCGCAGCCATAGCTTAATGTATCTGCAGGTACCCTCTCTTTCATGTATCGTTACTTGAAAGAACAACACACCGAACACAATAGAATATCTCTGCTCTCTTTTTCTTCATTTTTTCTTGATTTTTCATATCGAAATCCGCCCCCCAATTGTGCTATCGCCGCGCCACTGCGTGCACGTGCGATGGTGCTCCGGGGAGTAAATGTGTGCGCTCACAAAATAAAAGATGTACCTGAAGAGAGAAAGTCTCCTTTGTCTTCAGTCGATTCAAGTTAATATCGACCAATTGAACGAGTGCAATGCGCAAAAATGCAGCGCCCGTGAGAGTACAAGGCGCTCGAGTGCTTTTGAGGAATCGCTATATTATTTCATCGCGACGCAAAGCTTACTTTTCTCCGACAAGAATTGTTCAAAAAAAAAAAAATTAAGATACATAAACTAAATAATATAATTTGCATTTTATAGAATGGCCACCGATCTGTGTGTATGTAAAATTTTGTCTGGGGTGCAATAAATATCTCAAGTTCATGCCCTTTCCAATGAAATAATTACACAATTACGTAACTTTCTTCAGGTTCTCCACATTATAAACGAGTTACGTACTCGTATGCTGGAATAATATAGTTGGCCGTCATAATATTCATCAGTGCATATAATAAAGCTAATTAAAATGATATTAAACTGACGCAAAACAAGGAAACAGAAACCGGCAAATAACTGATTATATAATAAAAAGGGAATGACATTTCAATGAGCAAATATTTGAGGACATAATAATTCGTACAAATCGTTTTTCGAATTAAAACAGATATGAATGTTTATCAAATAAACGATAGCGATTAAAATGGTGAATAAAAATCGTTATTGTTTGTGCGTGCGTACATACTCTGCGCGAGGGATTGCTTTCCGTATTTTTTACTCGTTCCTCTTTGTTAATGCTAGTAATTTTTTTCACTACGTGCGTCACTCAAAAAAAAAAAAAAGAAACATGGTGCTCGTTTCAAAGGCACGCAATGTTCGGCGAACTGCTTCACCAACATCGGTCCAGATAATAATAACAACTCATTGGAAACTATGAAGCATATTTCGCATGGGAAATATTTTATTATCTCTCATTTGCAACAATATTGCTGCATCTAGTGCCGTGTACTTTTGTTCTCCGATAAAATAGAATAACAATAGCGCGCCGGACGAGGGCAATCAAAGAGAATACGTGAAAGCAGAAACATCGAACATCCTATCTCTTTTCGCTAAAATCACACATGACAGAATCACACGCAGTGATCTGGTGGTGAAGGTGGCAAAGGAGAGAGGGAGATCACATTCGGGGCGGTGATGCTGTGCTTGTTTTACGGTGTCGCGTTTGCGAGACGACGACGTTCGAGACGAGTGATATATATCGAGCGATAAACCCACGTATTCGCGCGACGCGAAAAAGTAGTAATCGACGTACGGCCAAAAAAAAAAAAAGAAAAAGAATATAACGAAATTACACGTCGCATTGACCGATGAAAAGCTCCACGTCATCGGCGACTTTCGCGAATGAAAAGTTTCAATAGGTTCCCCGTAATACGGCCGCGATGTCGTAATTACAGTCAGCTAATCGGGTATGAAATCGTATCAAAGTCCACCGTTAACGACTGGAACAACTTCTCTGTGGTCGCGTGACTACCATCCACTCTCTCACGCACGTAGTAACATACATAAAGCTCAAAAGCAATTGCGCACACTTAAGTTAATGAAACGAGATGAGGGGGAGCGTTTGTTGGCTGCGATGGGAGACAAAAGATATCCGGCGACGATGTACACGGATAAAACTGAATGGCCCTCGTAAAGTCATCTTTCGGCGCGCGACGACAAAGTTCTATTTCCCGAGCTTCCGTAATTATTACAAACGCACCTCGTTATCCGGCGAGAACGGTCAATTGGCGCGCGTTAAAAGCGACGCGTGAAGAGAGATAAGCCGAGAGACTCGAGGGATGAGAAGGGAGCTTTCTGGTGCAGTGACTGACGAGCAACAAGGAGTTTGTTAACGCTAATTGCGTACAGATAAAGTAGATATTCTCTGTCGCGGATCGTGGACGCGCGTATTGACACTTCGAGGTTCAAAATAATTATTCAATTAATCTCGGAAAATAACGAATAAAAAGCACGGTCGATAGTGATATATGACAATTCGGATCTTTATATTCTCGTGATTTTAAAAAAGATTATCTTTAGAAAGGCATAATAAATCTCGATTATGGAAAATCCTTTGAGATAGTACAGATATTAATCATGACTTTAATAAAGAGTAAAATTTGATAGCGCGAAAAAAATGTACAAGACGCACATGCACGATCGGCGAGAATATCACACAAAAATTCACATGGCACTCGGATGCAGATCGGTCGGTGGAGTCGAGACGATAAAGCGAAAATAGAGATCTCGCGATCAACGACGATCCCATGATCAGGATCTCTTAACGAGGGTACCTGAGCCACACATGGGCCGGGCTGCTCGCAACTGCATTGCTGTTTTGCTCGTTAGCAGGGCTTTCCATCCAGTTCGTTGTACGCGCTTTCCTGATTGGTTAGACACTGATCAGATGGAAGGTTGTGGATGTGCATGATACGAGTGGCGATCATGTCCATCGTTTTGCGCTCTTCAGCACGTGTCATCTCGCGCGATTGCGATTTCCAAAAGTGATACACAAACCTCTTCACTATGCAATTATAATCTTTGCCATTTGAAGAGCAAAATAACACGGTATATAATTGTGTGTGAAATGTCTTTCCTCTCGTTTTAAAAGCTAAAATGTTTGACCTTTGTTATATAAAATAACCTGTTAAATAATCTTGTTAATGTGTAATTATTATAAAAAGATATCTTTTTTAAGCTTTCTTTTATCTGTAGCTTCTTCATTAATCTAGTCTTTTTTTAGTGAAAATTTAATCGAGCACGTTTTTCATATTTAAACAAGATAATAAATTATATATTTTTAAAATCCATTTAAAATTAAGAAGGAAATGAATATAATCTTTCTCTGTTTTTTTAATGAAATATCAGAAGCTGATCAAAGAATCCGTATAGATGAAAGAAAGTGCAGAAATCTTAGAACATCGTATGTATTCGAAAGAAATGTTATAAAGTAATCAGAGAGGAGGAAAAGTCACATCACAAAAAGATACAAAAGATTTCGATAGCGCGCAAGACTAATATTTTCCTTTCGTACCTTTTTCTTCTAGAAAATTATAGCAATAGATATGACAATTTTCTTCCAGTCGGCGAAAGCTCGTAAATAAGTATGTTCGAAAATTAGGAGAATTTATCTAACGGCACTACTTGCTACTTTTTCGCCAATTTTTCATAAGACGAAGTAGAGGAAGGTTGAGAGAAATTATACTGCGAAAAAGTCGCACACGCGCCATTACGTAAGTACGACACATTAATTTCGCGCGGACGTCGTTAGCAACTATCTGCAAATTTCCAAGAAATCATATTATCAACTTTCGACATTTTAAGTTCCTCGGAATTGTAGTTTACAAGAAAGTTCGCGGGAATTATATTATCGGCTAATATAAACACTTGGACACTTGAAACAGCAGCCTATTTCTCGAATAAACTTTAATTATCCTCTTCCGTTTCGCGTCTCTTTACGAGAGTCTTCTCGATTCTTTCTTAAACGCAGCCTCTCTTCCTTCACGTCGCATTCTTCCGTTTTACATAAGGTAGAAGCACGTCTCTTTCTCTCTTTCTCTCGGAGAAAAAGTCAATAACAAAAGGTATTACCTGGCGGGCGGGAAATGTACATTGTGCGAGGCAAAAATCCATTAAACGGTGCGGAGAGGGTGAATCGAAAAACCGGAAGCAGCGGCGGCGGGAAAACGCGGACGGGAAAGGAAATAGCGTGAGAGAAAGAAAGAAAAGGAGCTAGAGAAAGAGAGAGAGCTTAGCGGATCCACACGATGTTAGCCGCACGTATACATATACTACAATAAGGGTTTATTAAAAGCGGCCTCGTTTTTCCTCATTTCGCAACACGGTCAAGCATCGCGTGGTGAAAAATAATTTGCACCTTTAGTGGAACGCAGAATATTCGTATGTCGTCGGTCGGTATTAAAAAAAAAAAAAAAGAAAAAATATTCGCGCACCCTCGATCTCTGCTCGCGATAATATTACGCGACGCAATAATCTTTTCCAAGCGCTCGAAATAAATTACTGAAAATTTGCATACGAATTAAGACGCGCGCGATCTTATATACCTTTGTTCACGGAATTTATTCGCGGACCGTACAAGAACGTCGAGTGCTTTCGTGTGTTCGTAAATCCATTTGCGGATTCGGGAAGGCAATCGAGGGGAATTGCACCGTACGATTAGCCCCTTTTCGAAGTCCTTCTCGTTGCGAAAGGTCGATAGCGTATCGATCCCACGAGCGTGTCGACGACCGGGCACTAGGTGAAAGCACGTCAATCCTGGTTAAAGGGCCGGATTACATGGACCCTCGCGGTCCCTCGTAAACAGCGCGGAAAATGGAATGTTCCACGTGTATTCCATATGTATGAATGCGGATAAAGTTGTATTTGTTGTCGTTTACGTATTTATCAAAAACTCCATCAATTGCGCGTCGATATATCCGGCGATTGTCAAGGGACCTCGGCCTAAGCTCGAAACGAGCAACGAATCGTCCACGAGATCGCGAGAAATCAACAAGCGCGAATGTAAACAACTCGACACGTGTACTTATATGTGATATTAAAATTTTAGCTACTCGTTCCCCTGTTTTCCTCTCGCGTGCGTCCCCCGAGAGATCTTAAGGGAATATCATATTGAGAAATACGATCGCGATGGTTTTAAATTCAGCTGGCTGGGAAAACGGCGGAGAAAAGCACTCGTAACTTTGCAAGAGACTTCGTAGTTCCTTTCATTTGTTCGAAAATCCCTCGGTATCTTCTCAAGAGTGCCATATGCCGCGTTTCCTCGTTACCTTTTATTGCGCAAAATTTCAGACATCGAAATAATTCGAGAGGGCACGTGGCTGCGTAAAGAAACATGACGAAGTCGAAAATGTACGGGCGCCGAGCCAGCAACCGGTATTCGACAAATTCACAGACGTATTCAATTAAAAGTTCTTCCCTCTCGTCGCTCTCGCTCAAACGAGGCAAAGCCGTGAACAGCTCTGGCCGATGATAACTTCGCGCCATTCTTTTTCTCGTTTCTACTCATTGCGATCTCTTCGAACGATATGAAGAAAATCACCTGGCGATTTTCACTATTTTATTATCGTCCTCTTATTAACCTGGCACTCTCATTATCTATATACGAGAAATCAAATTGAATGTATTATGTGAAATAAATTATATTACCGCGAGGAAGACAAGCGAGAAATTAATTTAGCAATAATAAAAAAAAATTAATAAAATTGCCTCATGGGCTTACTTTGACGTTGCCTCCTTCTTCTCTCTTGTGGATCGTTTTGTTACACCTTTATAGCACTCGCGTAATTCACGCACTCGTAAAAATACAATTTTAATCGCGATTGCGCGCAGTAATCAGCAAAGTACGACCACGACATTGTGCGACATTTTGCGCATCATTTTGGACTTTCGACGTTAATCGCGTGCTTTATTATATCGCGACAGGATATTACGCTATTACGGATATTAAGGATTAGTTACGACGCGATGGACCATCCGTGTGATACATTTCGAGTCATATATCTTTCAAATAACTTTCGCAAAATCAATGTATTATTCTTACTTTAAATGAGTATATAAATCACGCGAAATTAATGTCTGCTTTTCAATAAATAGCAATAGCTTATACGAATTACATTAAGTGTCAATTGTAAGAGAGAATAATCGCGTTGGATACCTTTTAATACCTTTCGCAATCTCCTCTAGAGAACATAGAGACGAATGCTTTGTGTAAATTATATAATAGTAGTTTTAGAAGGATATAGAAATTCATTACTCATTCGGCGATTAATGTAGCTATAATTCTGGCCATGTGCTTCAACAAATATCATTTCGACAAATAGTAATTGCTACATCATTATTCGCTAATTGCAGGGAATTTTAAGATAATAAATATCTTCCTTAACGCTTATTGAATTCGAATGTATCACACATTACACTTCACATTTTATGTCCATTTATTAATGTAAATTGCCCATTATTTATCATGGCATGCGATTAACGTTGATAATATGGTGCTTAAAATATCGCGCAATTGTCATATTTTATTGCTGATTAATGATATCCGCGTGATCATAATTAATTGTATTTTCACAAGTGAGTGCATGAATTATGTAAATGTCATAGAGCAGTGAAAAAATAAACGAGAAAGGAGATCCGGAAATATCTAACAACGACGGAGCACCTGTGTGATAAGCAATTTCTAAATTGTTTAATTTCTTGTTTTATTATTTATAAAAGATTACCGTTTTCTTTTTTCATATCCGCAATAAAAAAATCTATATTACATACATAATATTTACACACCATATATTCCAGATTTTATTTTAAAATACAATACAATAAAGTTTGATTTAACACGATCTTTTTTAAAGAGGATTTTTTTATATTTTTAAACACATTTTTTCATTTTTAAAGGAATTTTAATTATTAGCGGCGATAATTAATTTTTTTTCATAATTTTGTGGTCGCCGTTTAAGGAGTATAATACGTTTTTTCCAATTATATTTTTTATTATACATATAGGGGACATACAGGGGACGATTATTATTATTTGCTTACATTTCTAAGTATAGTCTTTCAATAAAATGTATGCGTAATGTGATACTTTAAACTTTAAAGTATTAATGTAACATTTAAACAACTGAAAGTGATGAAAAAAGTGTCGGCAGGAGTCGACTTGTCTATAAGATCTAATAGTCTATTAGATTTAATCGTTCGATGATTCCGCGTGAACTCCACGTGGTCTCCACGTGATTTTTAAATCAGAAAAGTCAATATGCCATACGGATCACAATACATGACTTTTATTGAACTATGAGAATAAAACAATTATAATTATTTGCGAGCGATAACTTCACGCGGATTAATTAATATGTTAAGAAATCTCCTGCCTACTCCTTGTCATCTCTATTTTTTTTCTTAAAAAATAGCAATATATATATATCAATAAATCTTAAACGCAAAGTTGAATTATTTTATCCTTTCCAAAAGAGGCTATGTCAAATCGAATTTATTGTGCTGCTGCCTTTTTTATAAAAAAATATTAATAAAATAGTCCTCCGTTCAATAATATATGTATATTATGTGTATGTATTTTATGTTTTATATTATATTATATATGTAATATATAATGTGAAATATGTATTATAAAATAAAATAGTTTATATTTTTCTCGCAAATTATGTGACATTTTATTTGCAATTTGACAACAAATTAGCAATAAATTAAAAACTTGGATATACATTAAATTTGATTTCTCGTAATAAATATGCTAGATTAACTGAGATTTCATTTATTGATTACAAGTGAATCAATCGGGCAATTTCGCGCACAATACTCCAAGTTTCGTTTCACGCATTCAATTTCTTTGGTAACGTTACTTATCTCTTAGCGTTGGCCCACATTCTTTTCGAATCAACCTCCGTCTACTTCTTTCGCGAAACGCTCACGTCCATTTTCGATTACGTCGTTCGGAATTCGTCGATCTCGCAATTGGAAGATCTAAAAGCGAGTCGAGCTTTCCTGCTTTTGTTCTCCGCAAGTATATACTTTTGGCAAATCGCATCGCGTTTAATGAATATCACGCGGTAAAGAGCGAACCGCCGCTATTTGCGACAGTATTTCACTTAATCATGGCGCAATCAGAACGCAGTCATGCTGGCGTTCGAGGGACGATTAGGAGCGAATGAGCGAATAACAGATCAGAGATGCGATCGCGCGAATCGATGTCAAAATTGATAAATTACGGCGTCAATAAACTGCGCGTGAATATTTTCACGCAGGAAGTCAGAAACCGTCGCAACCCGGATCTTCTATTCGCTTAACAGAGTAACACCGATAAACTGTATACGCCAAACGTATTCCCATATATCGTATATACACATATATATATATATATTTACATACATATACTAGTGTGTATGAATATATATATACATACGATCACATACGTCAGACATGCGATTTCATCATCTACTATATAATCTACCGGAATTGTGTCGTCACTTACCGTACGGCAGCTCTAGTCGGCAGTCGATTAGAAGCGAATGGCCCGTCGGTTTTTTCGTGCCGATGATATCATTCCCTCTCTGCTCCAGCTCCAAACCCAAACTGACCCACTGTCCCGTGGTCTCCTGAAATGGGAAAAATCGGCTTGAAAAAAAACAACAAAGATGTACTCTTGGGAAATGTCTAAATATTCCCTACCCAGATAGTCACAGTAATTATTATGACATCATTTTGACATCAAAATGATGTCATAATAATTACTGTGGCTATCTGGGTAGATTTAGCTCGGCGGTTACCGCGTTGTAATTCCTCGTTACCGCCGTCGACTATTAAAATCGTTACGGACGACACTCACGTATCTACCCGCTCGCAAAAACTGCCACCGGTATTCCTCAACGTTCGTGCATAAAATAATGAATTAATTAATACCGGCCATTATTCACTCTACCTTCAACAGTACGTTGCCGACGGCGCGGGAAATAATTCACTCGAGACAATCTCCCTCTCGTATTCCGGTCCCGTCCGAGCGCAACCCCTGAGAGCAGGTGCAATTATTAGATGTGAGAGAGCCGTTGTGTAATTTATGTAACCGGAATAACTTCGTTCGATGCCATATTCTTTGCGCGACGCGTGGAATTAATCTGTACGCGGATGCGGTATTACGCCATTGCGGATATGATGTACTTTATGGACGTGCACATGCAGTTTATATGCACCGCCAGCATCTGGCACGGGTCGTCGTTAGAAGAGGGAAAGGGCGAGGAATATTCGGCCCTTCGATTTTTCCATTTCGCCCCGCTTTTCAAAGTGCGGAGAAAATCGAGCGTAAATTGGACCGAACGCGGTGAATCTGGAAAAATTTTGACAAAGCGCAAAGACCAATAAACGACGAACGGAACCGCGACTATGTACCAAGTTCGTCGATATGTACCGCATTATTTCGCATAGCACGTAAAAATAAAAACGTGAACGTAAAACAAAACGTAACTTCGAGCTTCGATGGTTTAGCGGCTTAAAAGCTTTATAATCCTTGAGCTCAAACAAATCACGTCCGATCGGAGCCTTTGTTCGTATCAATTTGAGATTTTCCATGATTCGTTCTCTTAAAAATACAAACTTTTCCACCGAACGTGAGAAATAATAACAATATTCAAATATCATTTTCGCTATCAGAGATAAAAAAAAGATTAACTTGCGGTTGTAAAATATCTTTAACAAATCGATTACAGAGAGATTATACATAATCTAAACTGGGAAAAAAAACGGAACAATCGGCTTATCTCTCTCTCTCTCTCTCTCGCTCTCTGCATTTTCTCAGCGATAATTTAAAATCCGGGAAACTTTAACTTTGCAAATACATCCACGTGCCGCGTTTCAACATCGACAAAGACGAGGAAAACACCGAGATTTTGTAGTATGTCTGCCGGCGAAAAAGTATTTCTCGAAAACAAGATACAAATCCCGCGGCGGCGCTCTGTCTCGAATGGATCTGTTTGTCTCGAAAAACTCACTCGACTCGAGAATTATAGCCGAGAAGAAATTGTGGCCAAATTTTCGATGCGTGAAGAAAACATTTAAAATAACGATATTGTACTCTCGGGATTGCCAAATTACGTCAGCCGTATATTATATCCATCAATTGCCATGTTAAGTTTATTTTCTCTCGAAAGAACGTCATATTATTCGATACAGCATCAATTTTGTAATAGATGTCGACGGGGCAATGTCATTGGGGGCAACAATAGAAATGATTAACGAGGTATCCTCGTGTAACGAGTTGTAATTGTGATCATTTCTATCTTTTCTCGTGGCATGGAAAAAACCGGCAATACGATATTTTTACAATCGATACGTAAATGAGGGTAAGGGATGGAAATTGCGAAAGATTATTCCGATACCGACACGTGATCTCGACAAAACGCGATACTAAGATATAATTCGGTTATTATTAGGGTTAACTTGCATTTTGCTACTGGAAATCGATAGGCCATTTAAAGATCAAAGCGGGCCATGCATTGTCCGATGTATGTACATCTGAAATTCGCCTGTATTCGTTACATATAAAGAGAAAATATGAGAGATCAGGGTATAAATTTATATTTACCTGACACGAATCTCTCTTTTTCGAGAAATCGTTCCCGTTTCACGTAAATGTCACGAGCGTATTGTACATTTTTCGCATACATTTCTTCACGCGAGTTCAGAAATTTTAATGGAAAGAGCAGAGAGAGAAAGAGAGCTGGCAGAAAAAAGAGATACATTTTTTATTATCTCGGGAAAAGTTATAATTTCCTAGGTCGGGTGCAAAAGAGAGTATCGCAACCGACTTGGCTGCTAAAATAAGAAGGATCCACCCGTTCTCAGGTACTGTGCGGTCGTTCGTTCCAGTTAATTTCACCCTATTACGGTGCTACTGGGGGAAGAGTCGAATTAGGTTAGCAGTGACGGGAAGTGGTGTGACGCACCAGTATCGCTCCTACCTTTTCGATTTCAATCTGTTTCCTCGCAACCTGGCCCAATTAGCATTGCCTATCACATGAGAAGGGATAAAAAAGCGAATGCGAGAGGAAGATATGCGCTCGTCTTTCTATAGCGAGGGAATAGACGCGTCATCGATTGGTCTCGATCACTTACGAGAAGCCAATATGCACTTTCAGCGAGCACCGATATGATTTTCCAATGATGTTATTTCGGGAGAAAACGAGTTTTCACGCAATTTACCGACTTTCACAAGCGCTTGTCATCCTTGCCGACAAAAGAAGCCGCCCTTTTCGCTCGCGTACCAATAGGATGAGCAAGATTTCTTTTTCATTTTTTTCCCACACACGAGGGGAAAATATGTCAGAGTAACGAGGGATGATTGTAAAACCGCGTATGTGGTCGCCTGGTTTCACTCCATATTCCAGAGACCGTCGTCATATATTTCACCGTCCCACGCCAAAATTATTATTTTGCCAGGAAATTGTCACGCGGCACCATTTATTTTCCCCACGTGATAAATAGTTGGAGGGACGCGTCGTTAGGCCGACTTTCTGTACGGATATAAGCGACACCGATGTAGCTACCTAATGTGGCCGACACGATTGCTAATAGTCCCGTGTGTCCACTTCTTCTTCCGTTTCTCACCTCCTCGTTTCTTTAATCTAACGGCAATAAAAAGAGAATCGCCGCGACGACAATGTCATCGGGAAAGACGATGATCGTAGCGATTGCGGGATGACGTCCGTGTAATTAAGCGTCCGACGACACAATGGCTCTCTACCGTAGTCGGCAGAAATATTCACTGCCCGTAGAAAATGTCACACCTGCGGAAGGCAGCGCGGAATTCAGCGGCTTCCGATTTGGCCGGAGATGACGGATGCCAAAGAATGGATTAATCACGACGTTTGGAGAAGGAGAATTACCGCGCGAGAATAACCTGGTTTTCGAGTCCTTTCGTTGCTTGTAATCTGGAAAATGCGATTACACTCGCCTTGGAAAATTTCGAAATTTTAAAAACTCGAAAACCGAACGATTTTATTTGAAGAAAATTTAGATATTAATAAATAAATTAGCAAGAGAGAAGAAAAGTTGAGATTGTGTAGGTCGTTCGATCAAATGGAATACAAAATGTATAATTGCGAATCTGACAGATCGACCGATTGAACAAGACATATATGTTCATTACACGAACATATCCCAGTAACCGTCTGATGTTTGCTTTTGCTTAGAGATGCATTTGCTATGCACGGTCGATGAATCTGTCTTAATGTTTACCGTGACGGCTATATTTACTGATAAGTATTATTTCATTCGCATTGATACGAGATTAAATCGTTGACGGACGAATGCTAATGCTTAAATGAATTGAAACAGCTTATTATTGGATAATATTAATCGGCTGTTTCGCTAAGCGAATTTAAAAGACTTTAAGAAATTGTCAAAAAGATTTAGGTGTACATAAAAGTAATAATCGACGGTATATTGTCTCGCGAGTAATAAAATAATAATTTCTGAACAATTGGCTTGCGACGATAAATCCACTTGATGTCGCGCCGTCGATGCGAAATTATTCCGCGCAACAGGAGGGATAAATTCGAGCAATTTATTTCTGTCGCTTTATATAACGTCACAATATTTACATGACCAGGGGCGATTCGACAATTATATCGATGAACGTTCATTCGATAATTCCCGGCCCACATAGCGTGTCCCACGCAACGACGAAGTCGATATTGTATCATATTTCAATTCTCTTTTTCACGCTCGAGAGCAGACAAGGGACATTCATGCGTGCATGCGTTTCGATAAAAGTTCAGCTCGACCTGACGGCTTAATTTCTCCGTCCTCGACACATAGAATCGCCGCTCGTCAATTCCTCGAGTCAACAAAGGTCGGCTGCAGTCAGAGCCACCGTTCCCTCCTTGGTCGAAAGCAAACAGGTAATTCGACCCCATTCACTCGGACGACGATCCCCACCGAAATGCCCTCTAACTCGTGAGATATCCGCCGATTCTGGTCTGTAACACGCGCGCCGGGGATGCTCGACCACGTGTCTACGATCGCGACGTGATGGGCTTGGGGTGAGACGATATTCCGGCAGAGAAGAAGGAGAGGGTAAAAGCCTAGAGAGACGGTTCTCGCGCGCGATCGATCGACAATCCCTTCCCGCATCCACGACGTTCCTTTCCCCTCCTTCAAGCTGCTTCCTAAAGGTACGGATCGTCCATCAGTCTGAAATTCTCCGTGGATCACCAAGATGATCCCGGAATCCGTTTTCCATCAACTGGTTTTCGGGGCGCCATATCGTAGTGATATCCACCGCACCGCTGTTACTTTTCTCACGTTACGCGACAGAGTTGGTCGCGCAGGTCACTTTGCTCCCGCCTCTTTCCCGCCGCTATTAAGTAAATTGACGGTGGTCTCTCGTTCTTATTTTTCCGGGTTATAGCGGAAAATGTCAGGGAGCCACTTAAACGGGCCGTCGATTGATTTTTCCGGCGACCGTTAAAGCTGAGGTAGAAAAGATTCTAGGTTGCGTTGCGAGTCGTTAATGAAAATGCAAATCACGAAAAATAAATCGTCCGTGACGAAAGGCCCGGTTGAATGAGGGAATCCATCTCTCTTCAGAGATAAAATCGAATAAAAGCAAAAGGTTTCGCGAGCGACGCGCTATTAATCAACGTCTCGCGGATTAAAGCCGAGCCGCGGAGACGAGACGAGAGCTCGCGAGTGCTAAATCAGGTACCAAAATTCAGCTACGTCGTTACGGGGTAACACGCCGACGTGATACCTTCCGGACGCGAGTATCTCCGTGAAAGGCGAAATTTCACCCTCTACGCCGTAATAAGGGATGACTCCGACAACGACGAGATACGAAGAGGTACACGAAAGCGCGCGTTGATGGACTCGCTGTCAAGTGGCTGTGTCAGTGACACGCACACTTGACACTGTCAACTTGACCTGTCAACGGACAATAAGACATCATCGGATTCTAACGGATTCTAATTATACATATCTGTGTGTGTTTCAATAATATAGCGCAGGCTGTAATTATTAAATACGACCGGCGGTTGCCATTTCTATACTACTTATCAAATCGTATATAGAGCCTCGCGTGCCGTTTTATGAATATTTGAAGCCGCAGCTATGACCCAAATTGTCCTTCTCGCTACATGGAAAAGCAATCTATGACTTCTCGCGTCGGTACTCCGAGGCTCGTTTATCTCATTCCGCTGTCCATTTTCTCGCATTCCTATATCATCTCTCTGATTAGCCATCCCTCATCCGTTCTCGACCGAGTCTGTATCGCTTTTCGCAGCCGTGTTGACTCTCCGTCGCGCGTGCTTTCTTCGTCCCGTTTACACACGTGTGCGCATCATGCACTTATACCTACCTATCTCTTTTTCTCCCTTCCGCATCGGCGCTTTATCTTTGCTGAATGTCAGCGCTGCTGGAGCGCGAGGTTCGTCGATCGCCCGTCCAGAAACGTGGAAGGAGGATTTATAGCGTGATTTGTAGCTTCTCTCCCATTGTTGCCACAATCGTGCCGTTTAAAACGGAAAACCGAGTGAAAGAACTTTGTGAGAACGTCTTGACGTCGCCTCTTTCTCTCTCCCTCGTAGCTGAATAAAAGACGTCGCTTTTGTATTCGCGCACTCGCGGATCATAGATCACACGGTCATCAGCTTCTGATCTTGCACCGAGGAGGTAATGTAATATTTCACAGACTCACACGAGGAAGCAAGAAACGTAATGGATACGAGGTGTTATAAGGTGTATAAAATTGCCGTGCAAATACCAGTGCTTCACGGATGTGAATGGGGGATCGTTAGCGCGAGTCGAGAGGTCTCTTTTCCTCGGAGGATACGGAGGACGTCGTCGTGTCAGATTTCTTTCGAGCGAGGGAAAAAGAAATTCAGCGAGAATCAGCTCAAGTTTTCATCAGGGTCGTTGCCTCTTCCAAAAGCTCGCTTACATGTGTGCACGCAGCATAATGTCGTCGTAAACCTACGGCCGACTATTCGCGCCCACTCGGCGATTCGGTTTCCCCGGACGTTTCATTGAGCGCCGCGATTTGGCCGCCCGCCAAGTGACGTCACGAGCGAAAGAGGACCCGGGTATTGCCGATAGTGATGGCGATGTCGTGACTTGAAAACGACGGGGGGATGATAGGGGACGATGCCGCGGCTGTAATTTCGAGCTCTCGCGCGAACGAGAAAGGATTCGTACGAATGCAATTTTAAATCTTTAAATAAGAGAGAGACTATAAGAGTCGATCTCTCTTTGAACGATAATCTAAAGCTATCTTTTGGAGATAAAATTTTCTTATCTCTCTCTCTCTCTCTCTCTCTCTCTGTCTGCATTTTTTCCTACTAAATTCTTGATTTGTTAAAGAGAAAAGCACTTGAACATTGCGCCACCATAATTTGCCCGACCAGTTCGGAGAAAAAGTTTACAACCGTTTTCGCGAAAGAGACGCACTTGAAAAGTGACGCTAGTAGTAGTCGAGTGTACGTAAAAGCAGACTTCTCATACGCGACCGAATTGTGCCGTCCAAGATAATGCTACTCTCTAATTTAATTTGTCCGACTCTTCGTCGAAAGATGCTGCAGGTGCATTTCGTGCAGAAAAAGCAAACAAGTCTCTCTCTGACTTTAATTTTTTTTTCGATTCACGTGCACCCTTATTTTTTGACATACATATATCCTTCCACAAATTATCCCTATCGATAAATTAAAAATATAATTACGTTGAGAATACTCTGATTTTGTAAAAACAATGTACAGAAAACGCATATTTTATTTGAAAAGTTTACCATACAAGAAAGTTTTTATCCGATTTATGATAATGAGATCGATAATGAGATCGTACTGCCACAAGAAGAAGAATAACGAGAAATTGACTTGAAAGCAGTCGGGCGGTTGTCCGGGAATTTGAATAACAACCAAGAAGAAGGAACAAAAGAAACGGAGAATTGCTTCTTCGTTTCCGGGTCGCGCATGAATGACTTCTATCTAGTCGTTTAAAAGAATGACTGTGAACGCTCCAAAGAGTTATTATTCTCGCCAGGGAAAGGGTGATTTCATCGAACGAGTAAGAATATCTCTCGTTTCTTTATTCCGGCCTTAAAAGTCGGCAAAGCATTCGCACGATTTAATTAACGAAAATTCACTTTTATCGCCATACATATAAGTTCAGTCGAGCGCGTAAATTTCACAAACGAATAAGGCAACGGGATAACGGGAGGAAGATCGCAGGAAAAAATCTCGGTTCGAGAACCTCAAAAGACATATTGTATAGGGGTGAAAAGGGGATGGACCTTAATCTCATTCGAGTCCCTCTCGCGCAAACATTCATCCTAGCGAAGAGGATCCATCCAAGCGCATCAATTTGCTGGTAAAAGTAAAATGTAATTTGTGTTAGACGAACTAGCATTTCAAAGTTCTCATGGATCGCGTTTCGAGATCCCGAGAGCGTGCGCCCGATGAAAGCGGCGATAAGAGAAATTAGGTCCTTCGTGGCTGCTATTAATACATAATTATGCACGCTAATTATGAACGCATCATAAATGTACCTCCGAAAGAGAGAGAGAGAGAGAGAGAGAGAGAGAGAGAGATATGGGGATGAGAGACAGAGAGAAAAGGAGACACGGAGAGAGAGAATAAAGTAAAATCGCCATCTCTGCTCTCGCAACCGCTCGCTCACGTCAGCAACGTAAATTACAGGCTATTGTTAATCACCATATTGGTGGAACACGGTGTTTACTCCAAATTCGCGCGTGATTGCGTCCGGCGAAAACACGCGACGAATTAAACGATGTCAGTATCGATGGAAAATGGTCAACGTTGCGTCACTTTCGCAAATTCAATTTGTACGCGCGCGACATAATACAGGGTTGAATTGCCCTCGCGATCGGTCACGCATCGAACGTGACGTCGATTGATTGCGTTCTCTTCGTTTTGCGGTCCTCTTTTCCTCTCGTTCGCTTTTAGATTTATAGCGCGTCGCAAGAAAGACGAGAGGGATAAAAAATCGCCCGAGATTTAGCAACGATAATAGAGGGCCATGATGACGGACATTAGCCGAAGAATGATGTGTGACGGAGGATCGACGGTTATTCCATCGAGAATCGACGGATAATCCTTAAACGCGCTAGATAGTAATTGATTTCGGTCCGCCATTCGACTCGGACAAACACTCGTCGAATTTCATTTCACGTGCGAAGCCAAAAAGAGGACCGCTGACGAGAGAGCACCCGAAGAAAGAGTGAGTGGATTTCTGCGAAAGACCGTTACGTGCGAAGAGTACTTGAAAATTGTTCGTTATTTGGCGCATGTGACGACGTTCTTTTAAAAATGTTTTTATATCTACGACGAACGAATCGAGATGAGTCTCATCCCGTATATCGAGTTTTATTACGAATCGTAAAAGGAATACTTGTTGCTGCCGCTTATGACGCGCAGAGTAACACAGCAATTATTATAGCATTTTAATTTCAATTATACATATGGTATTGTGTGTACTATATATTTTAGTAGTGTATAAAACGTATGTATGAGGGTTGGTGTACCGTGTCAGTGATGATGTCTGGCTGTGTGTTGCTGTTGGTGTCAGGCATATCGGACGGTGTGTTTCGTTCAAATTGTTGTACTTCTGTGTGACTTAAGTTGCACTGATTTCTCGTTACCTCGTTCATGTAGGACACCTCTGACAGTGGGATATAGTAGTAGCCCAGAAAACGGTCCCACAAGAATCCCTTACACCATACTTCCACGACGAGCCCAGCATTCATGTCATTCGTTTCGCTGCGTAACAAACAAGTTCCATTAATTTCGACGAGGTCACAAAGAGAATTATTACGCTGTGAAATAAACAGCTATGCTTTTTGTATAGCCTTTATATAGTGTAGATTAAATTCCGTTCGAAATTTAACAACCGAGAATTTGCTGGCGTCAAATGCCGAAAATCGTTCGAGCGAGCCAAGATCAAGAACAATATATCTTTACGTAAAATGGTAAAACGGTCGGCATTGAACAGGCGAGACAATCTCTTTTAACCCGCGAGTCAATTTTACGTCACTTTAAAAATCTTTTTTTCTTCCTTCTCTTCTAACCATTTAATAACTCCGTTCGAAAAGAAAAATCAAGAACCATAATGGACCGAAGATCTCATCTCAAACAAGGAAAGACTTTGTCAAACTGAAGGTTAATAATGCCGTATTACGAAAAGGAAGCACGTTTCTTCCTACGTAATTTTCATCGGAAATTTTTATCCGACTATCGGGCTTTGCTCGAAAAACTCGCGACCGGTCGGCGAGATTGATTTCGTCCGCGTCGAGTTAGAGTTCCTATTAAATAAGACCGTAATTAGTCTCAGATTCCGTTAGATGCGCACAAATTACCGGCTGTCCTAGATATTTTAGTACCGGCGCGCACGCGATAGTTTGCGATGTTTCCGAAGAATGCAACGTCATATAGTAACCGTATGAGAATTTTTAAATTGAAACACACATTTAACTTGATAAAGTGTGTTTCACGAGTTCCCTTCTCTCGTGCTTTACATTTTTGGTGTTTAAACGAACATTCAGATGTGATTAATAATCGGTAACTTACAAAAGGAAATCTTGTTCCCAGCATGGATTGGCCCCTTTCACAGTGACTGTCGTTGACTTTACATTTTGTAGCTTCAAAGTTACGTAGGAGTTGAACTGCTCCGCTGGAATTTGGAATCAATAATATATGTTTCGGCCAACTAGTTTAAAATACAACGCAAATTTTGCTACTCACACAACATACGAGCGAAATATATGATTATATTCATTCATTATGCGAGAACAATTAAAATGTCATAAAAATGTCACAGTTAAGTTGCATTTTTATCACTTATATAACGGAATTACGTTTTAATCAAATTTTTATTGCAATTTTAATCCTTTCGAGATCGTTTTGTTCGTGATTTAAGAGCAATGTTTGCGTCTTCACGGGGTTTATGTGTCCGAGAACGAAGGGACGGGGAAGAACTGTACTATTAAGTTGAAATAAGTTCCGCCCACTGCATCTACTGTGCATGCTCTCAGCTGCACGCCTTCGATAAGTCGCGCAAAAAGAAGCGAGGAGCGAGAGGTTTTACGATCCGCGACACAATGTTTCGAGCACGGTAGTGCGTCACCCTCGACATTTTACTTTACGAGCCACGAAATTGTGTCCGAACGACCGGCGAAATATGTTCAAGGGTCGCGTTCCACGCCTGCCTTCGGGGTGGCATTCTATCTCCACACGCTCCGAGCTCAACCCGGAGAACTCGACTATTAATAAAAAATTAGACGCGACGTAAATAGAGCTCAGCGAGCCGTGAAAATAACAGGGCAGCCTCTCTTGACCTGAGAAATTACCAGATATGGAACAAATCGAATCGTCGCACATGCATGACTAAAATAAGAGTTTTTCGGCGATATATATCCGTTCTATCGTTTATAGAAACAGAGAGACGCTAAGGACTGCTAATGCAAAAAAAATCCTACGATCAGCTTCGATGAAGCCAAGTTTGTCCGCGATAAGGAGAGTTGTTGTTCGTAATATGAATGCACGATCGGCGCATTGAATAAATAAATTTATAAAACTACACGCTTTTAAAACGTTCGCGATGCAAGTGTGGACGTTATCGTTGCCTCAATCTTGCAACATTGCGTGGAATAATGGTCTTTATGTGTCCATTCCGTACAATGGCATACACGTGACGCGCGTGGTTGGATATTAAAAAGTACAATGTAAACGCAAAAGCGCGGAGGCTGTCAAGGTTACGCGCTCGTCATCGTAGACAATATTAAATAATATTGCGGCATTAATCGACTACGCGTATAAAGTAAATTAAATAGATTTATGATACAATTTAAAATCACCCTTTATAGTCGACTATTATATAATATCGTTAATTTATTTTTTTCTCTACTGAAATAATTTATAAAAATAGTAAGAAAGAGGGAGACACGTACAAAGTTTTTATTATCTTAGATTTATATATAGGAGATAAATTTTTCGAAAAAGAGATCTTTTATATCTTGGTGCGGAAAAATTATTTCGGTATAAGCAAAATGTCACGACATTCTGCTTGAGGTATCACATAATTTGAAACTTGGAACTATTCCAATCGCACGGGGCGCAATAAATTGTTCGCGGATTTTAGAAGCGAAGCGTGAGTAAGAGCTTTGATTTCGCGGCTCGTCTCAGTTCCAATTTGGAATACGCGATTACGCGCGCGATAAAATATTTCGCTCGTACGTATGAGTGTGAGAGTAAGAGTCGGGAAAACAAATCGACTGAACAGATGAGTCCTGAAGTTTTCCACCTTCGTAAGACGTAATATTCCTCATTTTTTGGTCACATAATACGAACCATCCTCGCAGATGAACCGCGCCTTCTTCACTGCAACAGAGAGAACAAAGGAGGGATTACAGATTATAAGTTTTGAAACAAAAATTACGGACAACAATATATAAGTACATTTGCAATCGCTTTCAAGCAACCTGAGCTTAATCTTAAAATCATGAAACACTTAATAAGAAATCTGTAAAACACTTGATGGTAAAATGCTGTAATCAGCAAAGGTTTATTGCTAATTAGCTCGTTCCCGCGAGCTGTTTACAACACTTGTGTATCGACGACAACATTATACCTATTTATCGGCACTTTAGCGCGAATTATCAGGCTATGTAATTACACTTGGGTCGTACTCTCCCGATTACGTTTAATAAAATTCAAATGTACATATAAAGATCGAAATGTGAAATCATTCGCAGGAATAATTATATCTTTGATGCACATCGCGCGCGTATCAAACTTTCGAATTGAAGTTTCACAGGGAAGACAATTTAACTCGCGAATGGTGAAGGTATATACAATGTACCTTCGTCTCGCGTGTAGTATATGTATTATCCGCTCCGTGCATTCTCTATCGACTTTTTTGTCAATTATTTATAAACGTCACATCCTGCAAACACATTACGGATTTACATAACGCGAATACGTAAAACGAGTTCGAGTATCACGGTCGGAAAGAGTTTGACAGTTCCCGGTTTTTAATAAAAAACCGTTTAACGGATAGGTCAACGGAGGAACCTTGTCTATAAGAACGTACGTACGCGAATGCGCTATAGGTGCAAGTGGAGCGCAGCTCCGTCGTTATATCAACGATTTGAAGCAATGACCTGTGCTAATAAATGCCAGGTAGTCTGTACCAGAGAGCCTGCGCGAGTAACTGCCCTTAGGATTAATCCTGGCGCTGCCAGGAGAGACGGCAGCTTCCACAGTTCAATGCAATGATGTTAAAACGGGTCAGCCGTGTATCCGCAGGTCACAGTTCATAGAAAGCTTTTTCTCCGCTCCGAACGAGCGAGATATTTTCCCCGCTCGACACAGACGCGCCTTTCTATTTTGTGCGCGCTTACATCGCGCGCGATTAATTAAGAGAGAAAGAGAGAGAGAGAGAGTCTGCGGCTGCAGGAATATTCTCGTCGCCGAGATATAAAATTGTCAGCCGCAGGAATGAATTAACGCTGATGTCACGCAAACAGGAGGGAACCCTACGGTCGACCTATAACGCCGAGAGTAGTGAATCGACTATTACATCCGCTTCTGTTAACCGAGAGGTCGAGTGCGGTTGCCTTACACGTTGGCAATCTCTCTCTTTCTCCGCTGCTTTCTAAATAAACTCCTTGACGAATTAATTGCTCTTTCTCACTTACTTAAAAATATTAATTGGACTCGTACACGACCCGCTTATTTACTTGCGTTCACACCTTGGCAGCCGGCCAGTCGATTGAAATCCGATATGCGGTGTGAAAACTCCCCGTGGGGTGGGAAAACGCCGATATTAAATCGACTTTAAGGACGTTTCAATAAAGCGCGAATGGCGGCGTACACGCGTACACTATATATCGAGCACACCATATCGATACTTGATAATTGCATTAATTTCGACGATACGCAAGCGTGTTTCCAACACTCGGATGTCTACGACATTCCTACATACTGTCACGCTATTAACGATGCAAGAGCCGGCGGCGTACATATAGAGAAAATGTGCATCGGTTTAAAGTAAGACAAAGCGTCGTATCAAAGTTATATTGCGCGAAATTGATACCTCGGGGCGCCGATGATATATACGTATAGCGGTAGATATACGAGGATCCTGTGTGTGTGTGTGTGTGTGTGTGTATGTATGCAAGCGCGCGTAGGCAGATGCACGGCGAAAGAAAAGTGAAACACAATGACGTCAGCTTTAACGCTTCAGTTGCGATCTTTTACCTTCGAACAACTCGAGACAATGGACGTCCGGCATATGAATACCGTGCCAAGACCGTGGTATCGTTGTGTCACACACGTACTCTCATGAAACTCACCCTCTTCTGGCTCTCTACTCTCCCTACGTGTATATATACGTACACAAACGCGTCTTTGTGTGGCGCGTACACGTGCGGAGGACAGGCGCGCGTATATAAGTGTGACACGACGCTTACTTTTCATCCTACGGCAGTTTCCTTCGGTGACGACGACGTCGCTGCGCCGTGAAAACGGATGCAGAACGATCGGCGACAGACTTCACAGGGGCAGGGAGGATAAACGGGGTGGAAAAACCGGGTACCCGCGCTTACGTTATATGTGTTGCGCTCTGTTATTTATAGGGAGGTATTAAAGACAATATTTACGCGGCACACGCGTAAATGCGATATGTTATCGCGCCTTATCAAGGTGTATATCGCGTAGATATATACTCTGAGAGATGATGACCAGTGTATATTTTTCTCTGCTAAAGCCAATCCCTTATATAAATGAGTCTGCCGACGACCCTTCGGTCAATTCTTATATATCACGACTCTCTCTTTATCCCCGTTTTATATGACATACTTAGCCGTGGCGTGTGTGGAAAAAAAATATATTCTTAAAATATTTTTCTTATCCGAAAATATTTTCAAGATATTTCTTAGGAAATATTCGCTCTTGAAACACGCTCTCTCTCTCTTTCTCTTCCTCGAAGCAATATTCTATCGCTTCGTGGGAAATTCTCGCTCCTTTGGGGAAGATTGGTTTTACTTCTTTATCGATTATTATTTCGTTATAAATTATTAGATTGATTTAAATGGATTTATAAGCGTTACGTAAGCAAATTGAAAGAATGCTATCAAAGTTTGATAGATTTTTTACCGTGTCTGTGCTCCTGTATTATGCTCGTACTCATCTAACTAGGTATCTCGCATCCTTCATGTGCGTTTGCGCAAAGTGCAATCGATGTAACGGGTATATAATGGGTCGCGATTGTGCCTCAAAATATATGCACCTACGCTTAGTTATGTCTTCAATTAATCATTTTCTTTTTGCGACACGTCGTAATGGGTTCGCTTCTGAATGTATAATTAAAGATCGCAGGAAGCGCAAAAAACTTTTAGATACGAACGGAGTAGAACGGTGCTGTAAAGTCGATTAAACCCTGCAAGTCTCCATCCAGATTGAAGGTAAGTGCGCAGCTGGCGCAAATGCAAGGGCTCTTAACGAAGCAAATAGAAAGGTGTTTTGAAATTCTACAAAATAGCTTAGCGCAGACAGGTAGTCTAATAAACTTCATCGGATTATTTGAAGTAGGATTTTGAAAAAAAAAATATATATATTTTTCACTATTTTGTACTCCCTTGTATATATAGTAAATCAAAACGTTCGTACATTTATGCATGAAATATCGTATGCGTCATCATATATCGTCAACATATGAATCACCGCGCCAATTCCGCGTCGCGGTCCACGAATTATCGATTATACATTTTCGATAAAAGTCAGAGGCGCGAGAGATACATATATAGGAATGAGACTTTATCGAGTATTTTAAGAGGAAGAAAGAATGATCATCACCATAAATCAGATTCGAAAGCGTTCCCGATGTTTCCGGACGTCATCCGAATACGCGAAAGTGATAAGATAAACCATGCACGTGATTATCACGCGACATACGGATTATTCTAGAATCTCCCACTGTCGCGAACATATGGCACACGTTTTTGCAAATGCGATGAATTGCGGAGAAGACTATCGCTAGCACGATTCAATCTCAACTATGTAAAGTCATTTAACCTTTAGTTCCGCAAACACATAAATGCCAGAACGAAATACTCCTTTTCTCTCTTCGTTGAAAAGATAAAAGTTTTAAATTAACTCGTAGAAGTTAATGCTGAACGTTTCGTCAGCACTTTTGGGGAACAAAGATAACGTAAAAGGATAGTTTCTAAATAAAATATCGTTGTTTCCGCAAACTGCAATATAATGCAAATCTGAAAAACGATTTTCGTTTCTAAAACTACGAAATACTATACGATTTCCTTCAAAGTCGATCAAACTCGTACTTAAAAATGCATTTGAATTCTTCAAATGCATTTTTAAAAGATCGAAAAGTAATCAAATGACACAATCGATAAAATTATAAATAAGTTTATGAATATAAAAGTCTACTTTCTAATATAGTATGTGCAGGAAATTAAAACCAACATCGACTAAATACGTATTTATCTCATCTCATAAATATTTTATATTATCTTGCGCGCATGAATGTGAACTTCCTAGATGCTATAATATAATGAGTGAATTCAAAGTTGTTCAAGCATTAAATAAGCACTGCATTTTTAAAAACTTATTACGCGCCTTTATGGATTAATTAATGTAAGTTTATTCCACCGCGAATCTACAAAAAAGATAAGAATATAATAAATGCTCCAATATTTATGCTAAAGGAAATGTGTGCGATGTTATCGGGATGATGTAACATTTTTTTTCTCTATACCCTAGAGTCTTGAGAATTACGAGCGACGTAGCCGCTTGAGATGTAATTAACAGATTACTCGTTGGCGGACTTCAAACTAACGTAAATCTCCTACCGATAAATCTGAGGCTTCTGTCAGATTACTATTTCGCTAAGTCGGCGTGTACATAGAACACTACATCTCTCTCTCTCTCTCTCTCTCTCTCTCTCTCTCTCTCTCTCTCTCTCGGATTTAATATATTTACCGTGGAACTCTACACATCGGAATAATTTATAGATGGTTCGCGTAAAGAAGAGAATTCACTCAACAACTTTGCGCATCTTCATTACTTGTAACGAGAAATACCTATATCTAATTGCTCAGCGGCCGAAAAATTCCACTATTTCTATCTTCTATATACCAAGAATCCGAACAATTCAATAATTCGCGTTCGATAATTCGACTATATTCCCGCAGTTTATAATCTCCAAGAACAGATGATCCGCGTTAATGATTTATTCCGCGTGGCGCATTAACCCTGCGGAGCAGGGGCCGATGTACATCAGAGCTTTGGCGAAGTTTGGCCTCGCGTCCGATAATTCCTTCGATAATATTGTTTTCGCGCATAATTAACTCTGTGGG